TGTGGAAATTAAACACATGCTTTGTATATTTAACAGTATAATATATTGAGACTACGCTTATTTCCAAAATCCTGGAAGCTTCTGGAGATTATTATGATCCCCAAACCAAGTAAAGATCCATCTTTGGTGAGCTCCTATATGCTTATTAGCTTAATTACGGTATTCTCAAAAATCTTCTAAAAACTTTTGCTAAAAAAAATATTACCGATTTTAGAATCGAAACAGACCATACCATGCCACCAATTCGGGGTTAGAGAAAAACATAGCAGAATAGAGCAGGTGCATAGAATCGTATCACACATAAGATCAGATTTGAAAACAAGCAATATTGTACTGCAGTGTTCCTCGATGTTCCACAGGCATTTGATACAGTTTGATTAGATGTTGCTTCCAGGTAAAATTTCTTATGTCTTAGAAAGCTTTCCTATTGTCAGAAAATTTCGTGGTAGGCAAAAAGGTTACACCACTGAATCCTATGAAATATCTGGTGGTGTCGCACATGAAGTGTTTTAGGACCCGTCTCATATATATTTTATAAGAACGATCTTCCCACAAACTGAAACCTCATCACATCAACTTTTGCGAATGATGCAGCAATACTTAGTGTCCATTCAAACCCCATGACAGCCAGTTACAGATTACAAGAACATTTAAAAAAGAAGAGTGGCTGACAACTTGGAGAACTAAAGTCAATGAGTCTAAGGGTATACAAGTAACATTTACCCTAAAAAAGTCACATTTCTTTCAATCTCTATAAATGGGAATACAATACCTAAGAAAAAATTCGTTACCTACCTGGGAGTTACATTGGGTAAAAGACAAAAAAAAAACCACATAGACAAAAAGATTACTCAAACGAAATTGAAAATTGCGAACTTGCATTGGATTGTATGCTCCAAATCCGAACTAAGTCTAGAAAACAAAGTTTTACTTTTAAATATGCTTATAAAACCGTCTTGGACGTACGGGATCCAAATTTGGGGCTCAGCATCTAAAACTAGCCTAGAAAGATTTCAAAGACTGCAGTCTAAGACCTTAAGATCAATATGCAAAGCCCCTTGGTATGTGAAAAACTCCACAATTCGCAACGATCTCGGGATTAAAACCGTGAGGAAATAGAGAAACTGCTCAAAAATTACTCATTAAGGTTATCTAACCACCCAAACTTTCTAGCTAAAAAATTATTACAGCAGAACTAACCTTAGTGATTAAAGAGAAAGGACGCATCCAATTATTATACATCGGGGTTGCGCTCCGCAAATTATTCTTTATGATATATCTTTTGCTAAATTTTAAACATTCGCGTTTGGTATCCCTAATGATATCTATATAAACACATTCTTTGCCAAATCTAAATTTTATTCGTAATTTATTGTACTTTGCTAGCTTTGTTAATCTATACAGTGATAATGATTAACTTATTTTAGGAATAAGAATTAGCTTTAAGATTTTCGAAATTATTGTTAGTTTCAAAAAAGGAAAGATTCAATGAAACATACATATAAAAATTCATTTCTGACTTGCTTCGAATTAAAGCAAATTGTCAGTGACTAGAAACATTTAATCGAATAATGTAAGATTTACGTGGTAACCAAAGCTATTTGGTAATGATTTAATATTACTGACAACCAATTTTCGTCAATCATCAGTTCTTTGAATAATGTACAAATATTGGAACAGAACATTTCTATCCGGGCGACTAATCAGTGACATACTGATGAATTTCTCTGAAGTTCGAATTATGACCAGACGCTCTCCCCTACCTTCAGTAAATTTCACATTTGCTCTGCTCTTGTCCCGTCCATTGCACTCCTTTGACGGCGGTGATACCAGCCTTTAATCTTACTAACCAGCAGGGCAGCGGCATCTCCCAATTAAGGAACCGGAAATTGCAGGTTATTCAAAAAACATTTGCAGCGATGGTAATCAAAACGGTGGTCTCTCATCCGAGGTATATTTCAATTTTTTTCTTTGAGCCTTACTAAGCCGTCTCCGATCGACTGATGGTTTTTTATGATGAGTCTTTATTTCATGTCAGAAATATACTCAGAGGGGTTGACATATCTTGCCGAGGGGCGACCGCAATTAGAAAATTTAACTTAATTTTTTATTTAAATTAATTTTTTCTATAACTTTATGAATGTTAGTTCGACACAAGGTTTTGAACCCGAGTCTTCCGAATGGCAGTACGCTACAATTTTTTCGAATAGGTCAGTTACTTGTCTACTTTCCGGAGAGAGGTGTAGTCTTCCTGTTGATCTAACGATAAAAGGGAACTTCAGATAAGATTTTTTCGAATACGCCAGTCCCTGGTCCACTTCCAGCTGCCACATCAACTGAATCCATCTGTCAATTCACAGCATCCCACATACGTGGACTGGGCTCTGGTATAATAAGGAAGGAGACGGCGATTTTGCAAATAAAAATTTCTTCAGTAACTAGGTATATTTCACACTCGAGGGATATGTAAGTAAGCAAATTTTCTCCATTTCGGGGTTAGAGACTCCTCAAAGGATATGGTTGGGCGTTACTTCTGTGAAAATGACAATAACGAGACCTTCAATATCCATTCCAAGCGTTATGGTCGTATAGTAACCGACTTTTGGCCTGAAAATTAAAAGCAGAACACGAAAGAATATGGCTTTATTGCGACAGATATTTCCCGGCGGCATAACGTCGTTTTGGCGATGTCATTTACCCACGGAGGTTATGGGGTTTGACAAAGTTAAATTTTTTTTGTGAAGCTACGAGAAATACCATGTTTATGCGAATATACTTTTAGCACATTAGTACTTTAAAAACAACATTCGCCAAGTTATGACTGAGATACCAGCTAATATATGCCTAAAAATGGTAGAAAATTACCATACGCGGATAAAAGTTTGCAAAAACTCCCAATGCTCTCATTTGAATGATGTAGTACTTCAACAACCGCGCCGTGAGTTGTACTTTCTCTAGACTAAATAAGGAAGCGAACGAGGCCAAAACAAAGTATCTCCTATCATCACACAAACAGTCATCGCATTCGCGATAACTTCGCCTGTCTTGGAACCGGTATTAACACCAACGGCAATGTCTGACTGAAAATCCAACGCACTAGGGTGACAGGTGCTAGTTTGGACTGCATTTTCGATTGGAAAGTAAAGTCCTCTCTCGAGGAACAAGGACCAAACTCTACAACTCGCGTATCGTTCTATAGCTCGAGTGGAAGGTTTTGCGTAAGATTTATGGTTTCCTACAAGTTGAGAACGGCGAATACCGCAGCCGATGGAACGACGAGATGTACGAGGTGTACGACGACATTGACATTTTGTCGTTCAGTGAATCAAGAAACTGCGGCTGCCCTGGTCAGAATGGATAAGAACACTTCAGCTAGGAAAATTTTCGATGCAGTAATCGTTGGTTGAGGAAGACTTCCAGTCCGTTGGAAAAATCAGTAATGGAAAGATCTGGCTGTACTTGGTGTTTTCTATTCTCAACAAACAGCGAATAAAAATGAGCGAAATTAATGACGCTTTTTATTAAATGGTTCGAAACCATTTTTATTCGATCTTTAGCTATTGGATAATCGAAATAGTGCTTATATAATGGTCGGACTCGACAATGTCGAATTGGAGACATTGTTCGACACAGATGCATCCCAGACGCAAGAAGAACTTGCAAGAGTAGTAGGAGTTGATCAAGCAACCGTTTCCAGATGATTATAATCATTAGGATTCATCCAGATGTTTGGAAATTTGGTGCCTTATGAATTAAAGCAGAGACGTCGAATGTCGATCCTGCATGTCGGAAATGTTGCTTCAACGCCACCAAAAGAAGTCATTTTTGCATTGGATTGTCACTGACGATAAAGAATGGATTTATTATGATAACCCAAAGCACAAAAGAGCGTATGTGAAGCCCGGCCAACCATCGACATCCACGGCAAAGCCGAATATCCATGGTACCAAGGTTATGCTATGTATTTGGTGGGACCACAAGGGTGTGCTCTATTATGAGCTATTGAAATCGGGTCAGAAGATCAATGGGGACCTCTACCGAAAACAATTGATTCGTTTGAAAAAGGTCATCGTGGAAAAACGACCAGAATATGCGACCAGACACGAATTAATTTTTTTTCATCATAACAACGCTCGGCCACATGTTGCAAGGCCAGTTAAAAACTATTTAGAAAACTGTAGGTGGGAAGTTCTACCTCACCAGCCTTACAGCCAAGACATAGCACCTTCCGATTTTGCGATGGGATCCACAAACTGCCAGAAAGATGAGCAAACATCGTAGCTTCCGATGGGCAATACTTTGAACATTAAATGTATAACAATTTCTTCTTAATTTCTTAATTTTCGAAAAAAAAAACCGCATGAATCAATGCATACACCCAATACGAAATGTCATCATTCTAACGCCATCTATATAAGTCCGCTACAAAACGCGATAAAGATAAATAAATAAATAAGATAAAGTAGTTCCTGTTATTACGATTTTTGCGTAGTTGTACTTACTTACTCACTTACTTACTTTACTGGCGCAGACACCGCTTACGCGATTTTGGTCAATTTAACAACATTGCGCCATTCGTTTCTTCTTTTTGCTGTTTGGCGCCAATTCGAAATACCAAATACAGCCAGTTCCTTCTCTACCTGGTTTTTCCAACGGAATGGAGATCTTCCTCATCCTCTGCTTCCACCGGCGGGTACTGCATCGAGTTTTCAAAGCTGATCCGGACCACATGACCTAGCCAGCGTAGCCGCTGCTTCTTGATTCGCTGACCTATATCAATGTCCCCGTATAACTCGTACAGCTCATCGTTCCATCTCACCATAAATCTAACGCAAAACCTATCTCTCGAAAACTCCTAACGCCGACTCATCAGACGTTGACATACATATACCACAACCATAAGCTCTCATGTTAGATAATTAATTTATATTAATGATTGTGAATTAGAAAACAAATGGTCATGTTAATTAGCCAATTAATATAAATTATTTTCTTTATAGCTTATATTTTACCGAGTAACGGGCACATCTTTGCAGTTTCCACATCTAAAATCTACAATCCTCGCTATATCAGTTGGATGTCTACTTTGCGCATTTCTCTTTTTGTTTGCTTTATCATTCTTTTTAGAAGGTAAGTAGTATATTAAAACCTACAACTAAAAAAAAATTACCGATTTAGGTCCACTCTCTCTTTTCATTGATGACGTAACAGCTTTATCATGGTCTTCACTAATTTAAAATTTGAGAGCTTAGCAAATACTTAGAATATTATTTGTAGGATACCTATGATCAATTTTCGTAAATATATCATATTTTAGAAATATAACTCTTCATTGGAATTAAGAAAATATGATGATTCGAGTAGAATGGAGGAGGAAGACATGTGTAAAAGTTCACGCAATTGAGAAAAGTTTTTTGCAGACATTCACTTAGGAATGGCCAGAAACGATTTTTTTACATATAGCTCAAGCAACTCACGACTTCCGATCTTAGGCCAAGTGTCTTTCGAGTAGACAACAAAACATCCGTTAAGAAGTTAACTGAAGTGAGTTTGGAATACCTGAGGTTGTGCTTATGGCTTAAACCATCACATGTAACATATGCTCCAATGGAACACAACAAGAATACTCAGGCCTACCTTTGGCGCTTTCTATTAGCGCTTAGAACTGCCCTATCAGCACTGCCTCCACCACCAGGTCAACGTAGTGCTTGGAGACTTCAATGTTAAGGTTTGCACAAAAGATGTCTACCTCACAACTGTCGAAAAACTCTCCTCAACCAAATATACCCAAACGAGTTGAGGCTGACCGACTTCGCCTCGGACCTAAATATAGTTGTCTGTGGTACTAACTTAAGGAACTGTGGAGCGATATTTTAAGCCGCCCTACTGAAACAGTTGGTAAAATTTCATCAGCATTCAGACATTCGGGGATTTCCTTTACGTTAGGGCACTGCATCCTAGTCAACTATATTAAATCAGATTGTACCTCATTCCACCAAACACACATTACACCTTGTCTAACTGAATTACTTTAAAATTTATGGAGAATTTCCACCAAAATCAGTCTTTGCAAGAATGTTGGAATTCATTTAAAAGTTATTTCAGTATTTTCGATTTTTCGTATACTTTGTTTAATTATGAATTTCAGTTCGAATTAATTAATGAATTTTAAGTTGAATTCATATTTCGAGTTAATAGTAATATAAAAGAGGCTAGAATAGAAGATAATACTCGTAAATACTCGTATAATAATTTTACCAACGCATATAATCATTTTACCAAACTTCGTGGAATTGGCCAGGGCTAACATAAAAAGAGAAGAGAAAATCATAACAGAACGAAGCTATATTCACTTTATTCTCACTTTCTTCTTATATCGTTTATTTGAATTGTTTCTGTAATTGCTTTTTCTAACAATTCTCTAGGTGGAATTTTATTTTTGTTATTGTTAAAGTAACGTACGATTTATTTTACGATATTGCTGTCTGTGTGAATAATTTTGAAAATCGTGAATGATCGCAAAGATCGCAAAGAAGTGATAATTCTCTCAATTCACAAATACAAATTCATGTGATATAAATGAATTTTAAAAATGAATAAAGGGTATAGTTTTGTGAAAGATGTAATCCTCGCGTTGATTATGATATAGGTTATGAGGGATGGGAGAGGCAATGTTCTCACACATGCGGATGGGAAGGGAGTGAGAAGGAGGCAATAACACCTGTGTCGGGGCAGGATACCCAAATCCAGGGGCTTGGCGATGGCTCGGAAAAGTATACTGTGCTTCAATATACATCCGCCTAGAGGCTAACATTGAAATAACTTAATTATGGAAGACCTATCATCCCGATATGGACACGACTTCCTCGATCGGTTTATCTATTTCTCTCTAGCGTTTCGAGACGTCCTAAGTAAGCCCAAGGGTCAACCCATATAAATCTTGCCACATCTGATAAATGGTGAATACTAAATCGCGAAGAATCGTGTCATTCATTCTTAAACTCGCTATTTTCTCAGCGAATAGGATGCTTGTGAAAACAAAAATATGATTTCATTCAAATAGGGAACTTCTTTGAGTTAATGATATATTGACACATTCCACGTCGGGATAATATGAAAGGCACCCGGCGACCTGTTAGTAGTCAAAGAAGGCCCATTAACACCCACCGAGCAGTGACTCGGTCGTATAAAAAATGTTCGTCGTAAACCGGATAACTACATTCGAGTTTTGTCAAGTGGTGCTTTTTCCCTAGTTAGCATTCCATACCAGTTTGCATATAAAATTCTGCCAGCTTCACCAGCAAGTGCGGTCACCAAAAGAAAAAATCTTGTCGTCAAAACTTTTCGACCGAATCGGTCGATAAATTGATTTATTATTTTCAAGCGGCCGATTACCATTCGAACTTCTAATAGACGAACGAAACATTTTTGTTATCATCATCGGTTTGGAAATCTGGTTCTCCATCTCCAGGTATTACGGTTACAAAGCCAGTAAGCAGCAAGACCAGCAAGCTCCATTGCCATCGTTAACAGCATCCCGAATTCGCTCGCAAACTAGCGCACTTTTTATGGGCAATGAAGTCGCAAAGCCAGCAACACAACAAACGTCACACTCTGCATATTGATATTAAAATTATTGTATAAGTAATATACATCCAAAAAGAAAAAAAGAAAATACATATAGTCGTATATCTAAAGAAATATTTACTGCTAAAAGACATTACTTTTTTATACATAGTGTCGCGTACTGGCCACAAAAAAAACTTCTTTTGTGTTTGTTTGTTCATTTCCTTTGCTTTGCTTAAGCTTCCTTTCATTCCAAGCGTTGTCAGTGACATCTGTCGGCAAATAGTTGCAGTATTTGAAGCCATGGATTAATGGCACGGTTGCATTCGATGTGTGCCTACCCAGTGGTATAAGTCCCCAAAAGGAGGTGTTCTCCAAAACGGTCCCTCCATTAAGAAATATTAGGGCAACGAAATGCATTGCGCGGGTATTCCGTAAAAAGGGGTGCCGCTGCTTCCTTTAATGCGGCGAGGGAAAAATTATCCCAGTGTTCTTGGTGTGCCATGGTGACGTGCGCTTTACAACCCAGTCATTTGGGTTGAGGGGGAGGCGCCAAATGATTGGGCACCAATACACACTCGCAGGAGAATTTTGAAGGTCGACGCGTAGCTTGCAGCCTGGCTCGTAAGTACGTGCCAGGTCAGATTATAGCAATCTACGAAAGAGCGAACACATCTTTTACGCGGGCGTGCGAATTGATTTAAAAAATATGTAAAGAACTAAATAAATATTACAGTGTAGTGTGCCAGGCGAGGCAAGGGCAGTTGGAGCCCGTCGTGAATACAGTTATTTTTCTTCTTAGGGATAACTGGAACTGGAGTTTGGCGGCATCACCGGAGGGCACCGAAGTCGGGACTCGCACCCGACCGAGAAACCGCTAAGTATCATATATTTTTCTGTTCACTGTTTTTGTACGCTTTGTCGTGCCGACAGTGTTGTTCCCTCCGTTTATCTTCACCCATCCTCATAGCATCCCGCACCCAAAGCCCAGTTATATAGGCGGGCTAAAGTTACACCCGACAGCACGGGAGTAGTGTGAGTGGGTTCGTAAACAGTTTGGTTGCACCCAAAAACATATTTTGTTTAATTGTTCTAAGTGGTTCGACTTTGCTGTTAAATTGTTGTTGTTGTGCGATTCTTGTTTGTTTAAGTCAGCGTTGATCATTCACTTGGCTTTGTTTTTGCAATAGTTGTTGTTCTTGTACTTAGCTGTTGACCAACGCCGTCTTCACTAAGCTGGCCGGTCACTTCGTTAGTTTTTGTCATCTCCTTTTTGTGCGGTAGTTTGTTTTGACGCGTGTGGTTGTTGTTGTTGTTGTAGCGGTTCGCTAACCCCGCTTAGGCACAGGTTTAATCAGTCTAAGTCGCCGAGGTCATCTATTGGTAGGCCCAGGAAAAGAGCTGTTTTGACGGGGTTGGACCAAAGGGAGAGGGGGGTTAGATGAGTAGGTTTGAGGGGGCATGTGAAGAGGTGGTTAGTGTCGTGCGGGGACTCTACGTTAGGTATGCTGGGGTCTAGTCTGGATAGGTAGGAGTTTAACCTGCTACAATATCCAGACCTGAGTTGTGTCAGGGTCACGCGGGTCTCTCGAGGCAGCTCGAGCTCGTTGTCTGCTATGGGTGGTGGTATTTCTCCGATTACGCCATTCACTGGAAGGGAGTCCATGAAGGTGTTAACTGACTCCTGGTGAATGGCGTTCAGTGCTTGTCGATACGCCGTCCTGTCCAGCGGTTGTTGTGTGTGTTGCTGGATCGTGTCCTTAAAGTCAAGTACTCCTTTTCTGATGTGCCTAGGTGGAGGTTCAGCCTCTATTAAGTGCCTACTGGGGTGCTCTCTGCGGTAGCATCCCAGTAAAAACTGCTTGCACAGCAAAGCATTATGCTCCTTAACTCGTAGCATAGATGCTTCCCTGTGCAAGTGATGCTCCGGCGACATCAGGAGGTTTCCTGTCGCAGTCCTGAGGGCAGTGTTTTGGCAAGCCTGTGGCTTCTTCATCTGCGTCCCGTTCGTCCCCGGCGTTCAGATCGGAGCAGCATAGTTTACGACCGGCCGGCCGATTGCTTTGTAGGTAGCCAGCAAAGTTTCCAGGTGCTGCCGGCAAGCGCTTTGAGTATTTTGTTGCGGCTCTGGAGTTTTGCGGCAATTGCGGTCGTATGTGGGTTGCCGAGGATTTTGTCGGTTGGATTCGTAATTGTCTTGCAGTGAAGAAGTGGGAGAGATCAGCGAGGTAGCCGTTTACTTTCGAGCAGAGGTCATCAATATCAATATATAAATATATATCGATATATAAAAGTTAAGCAGTAGCGGGGAGAGGACACCACCCTGCGGAGCCCCCTGTTTAATTTTTCTGGGTTTAGATGTTTTACCTCGGAATATTACCGATGATTGTCGACCACTCAGGTAGCCCATGACCCACCTCTGCAACCCCGGCGGTAATGAGGATTCCTCAATGTCCGTTAGTAGCACTGAATGATAGACTGTGTCAAAAGCTTTTGACAAGTCCAGTGCTACTAGGACAGTTCGCGCGCAGGGTCGGTTTTGGTTGAGGCCATGGACTATCGGGGTGTTTATGGCGTTAGGTGCTGTTGTGGTGCTGTGCACTTTTCGGAAGCCATGCTGATGCGCTGCTGGACGCAGATGGTGAGTGAAGGTCGGGAGCAGTAAGGCCTCAAGTGTCTTCGCTACTGGGGAGAGGAGAGTTATCGGCCGATAGGACTCTCCTTTGTTGGCTGGTTTCCCCGGTTTTAGTAGCGGGACCACCCTACCCATTTTCCACACGTCGGGTATCTTCAGGGTAATCAAAGACAAATTGAGGACCCTCGCGAGATGTTCTGCTCCCGCTGGTCCAAGATGTTTCAGCATCAGCATGCTTATTCCGTCGGGGCCGATGACCCCCTGAACCTCCTCCCTGTAGGAATCAAGCACCGCGCTGGTGTTTGGTAGTTTGCGCATACGGCGGGTCACACGTCGTTTCGCTTTGTCTACCGAGGGAAGCAATGTAAAAAGACGTCTAAAATAGCTCGCGAATCTCTTCGGGTCCGACGAGGCGCGATCACCGAATGAAATTTCCACCCGGTCATCGCGTCTCGTCGGGTTAGACAGCGACTTGACTGTGGCCCAGAGCTTGGTTGCCCCAGAGGAGAGGTTGCAGGTCCTTAGGTGCTCCTCCCACTTTTTCCGCTTATGACTGTTAACAACTCTTCGAATCTCCGCGTTTAAATCCCTGATTAGGGGATTCCCGGGATCGGAGCTTCGAAGGGTGTCGCGCCTGGTTGCTAGTACCGCCGCTTCTGTCGGAAAATTTGGGCGGATTTCCGCAATCCGGCCGGGATGAAGCGGGCGGCAGCGGTCACGACGACCCTGCGGAATGAGCGTTCACCAGCGGTGACGTCAGTTGGAGTGGGAAGAGCACTAAAGGCGTTCTCGGTAAATTCCGTGAATCCGGGCCAATTAGCTTTTTTAAAGTTAACGAAAGTCCGGTGGTCCGCGGAAACAAAGTCGGGAGGCCTGTCAATCGAGATGTGTTGCCCATACAGTGGTCCAATGCTAACGTCAGTATAGGTCGCCAGACTATACTGTTTATCAGACCAGCACTCGCAATTGTTATGTCTGGCGAGCTTTGGCAATTACCCATAACTCCGGTGGGGGTGTTATCGTTCATTGTGCAGAATGTCGAATCGTCTATCTGTTCAGCCAGCTCCATTCCTCTACGGTCATTTGACAGGCTAGAATGCCAAAGATCGTGATGCGCGTTAAAGTCGCCCAAAACCAAACGGTTTTCGCCCCTGAGTAGCGCACCTATGTCAGGGGTGTATCCAGCTGGGCAACTTGTAACTGGAGGAATGTATATATTAAATATTTTGAGCTCGACATCGCCTGACCGGATAGCTATGCCCTGACATTCTAGGGTAGTATCCCTGCGGTCGATGTCGCCATCGATGAGACGATACTGCACGGTGTTGTGCAGGATGAACGCTAAGCCCCCACCATGGTCTCGCTCGCGACCCTTGCGGATTATGTTGTATCCGGCCCTGTTCAGAAGATCTGATCGGGCGGTCAACTTGGTTTCCTGGATCGCAGCAATTGACAGGTGCTCCCGGTTCATATAGTCGACTATCTCGTCAATCTTTCCCTGGAGTCCGTTGCAGTTGAATTGTAGAAGTCGGGTCTGTCTCGGGGGAACGTTCGTGATTCGGGGGGTGAGGGAGTGATGCGTGGATGGTGTGTGTTGCTGGTGTACTACCCGCGAGAGTTGGTTCCGCACATTGGTGTTGATTGGCGGAGGGTTTGTAGAGACATGCGGGGGCAGACTCCTACAGCATGGGGCAACGTACGCATCGCTCCACTCACGGGTGGTGCGCAGGGCAGAGCACGTCCGAAAGTGACACCAGCCAGAGCAGAAGTTGCATCTGACTGAGGTCACGTTCCGACGCACTATGGTCTGACATATGGAACGCGGGGGACTTGGAGCTGCTGGGTAACCCTCGCACGGGAGGGGGATGAGGAGCTGGTTGTGGGTGGGGATGGGGGTGGAGGTTGGAGGGAATTATGCTCCGGAGGGAGCTCCGTAAGACCGTGGAGGTCTGCAGATTACCCAGAGTGGGTATGTGTGTTGAAGGCACTGCCATGGAGGCTGAGGGGGCGGTTGGACGCTGGCAGCATGGGGCCACATAACTCGTGGTCCATTCCCTGTGGGTCTTAGCAGGTCTTAAGATGACTCCAACCATTGCACTGGGTGCATCTAACCGAGGTGGATGAATGGTGGAGTCTTCTTTGACACACGCAGCAGAAGCAATCCGTCGGTCCAGGGTTGGTTTCTACACCAGCCCTGATCAGAAGGATTTGGAGCAATCCAGCTGCGAGGTGTTGCTCCGTTGGCGAACTTAGACTAAGGTTACCTGTAGACCTAAACGGGGTTAGGTCGCCGAAAGGGTGACAGCCCTTGGCCGGATAAAATCCGGGTCAACTCCGGTGCGTAGAACCGGCTGTCGTGAGAGTCGACGCGTGTGGTTCTTGGTAGGCGGTTGACCAACAGCCACTGTAGGTATACTTATGTATGTATGTACGTATGTACATACGCACATACATATTGTAATAGATAAAAGTGGAGGGACAATAGATATATAAATATTTAAAAATAAAAGTGTTTGCCACAAATCTTTACGTAATGAAACGATTGAAAATATTTACTTTTTATTTATTCCGAAGCAAAAATAAATTACTTATCTTTATTTGCAGGCTACCCACTTTGGCATACGTTAGCTTATTATCATATTATTATTATGATAAATATGAATTGTGCGTTGTGGTATATTAATTCTAGAGCAATTAAGACGGCATCAACGGCTCTAACGACTTGTTTTCAAAAGGTAAGGACTCCTATTTTAAAAATAAACTGCAGGCATACCTACATATATTCCTTCATAATTTATTCTGAGTTCTACAACCATGACACGTTTCTGCGCAATGGCTCGATTCGGGTAAAACTAAACACAAGGTTTAATGTTATGGTGACACAAATATTTTTAAAATAAGTTGTAAATGAAGAGTTGATTCATAAAAATTTTCTACTACTGGAGAGCCAATGTGTACCTTAGACCTTGCTTATTATCTGATAGATAGATGTAAAAACTTTCATTCAAATCATTCAATGTGCTTTTTTTCTTCATAACAGAAATCCGTTCAATATTCTTGACGATATTAAACCACAGCACTAACATAGGGGTCACAACGGGCCAATGCGCTTGATCACAGTTCCGTGATCGAGCAACTTTTTTAACTAACTAATTGACTAGATTTCCATGTCCATTCATTACTTATTCTCCATGCTTGGCGCCAATTGAAGATACCAAGTACAGCCAGGCCCTTCTCTGCCTGGTATTTCCAACGGAGTGGTGTCTTCCTCTTCCTCTCTTTTCACCGGCTGGTTCTGCATCGAAAACTTTCAAAGCTGGAGTATTCGCATCCATCCGGACCACATGACCTAGCCAGCGCAGCTGCTGCTTCTTGATTCACTGATTCGCTCGTCGTTCCATCTTCTGCGATATTCGCCGTTGCCTATGCACAAAGGACCACAAATCTTAGGCAAAACCTATCTCTCAAAACCTCCTAACGCCAAGTCATCAGATGTTGTCATCGTCTATGCTTCCGCACCATATAGCAGGACGAGAACGATGAGGGACTTGTAGAGTTTGGTTTTCGTTCGTTGGGAGAGGACTTTACTCGGCACCTGTTGGCAAGAGTGATTATGTGTTGGATTTCAAGGCTGACATTATTGGCTGGTTAGATAGACGAAATTATCTACGACTTCAAAATTATGACTGTCAACAGTGACGTGGGAGCCAAGTCGCCAATGCGATGACTGTTTGTTTGATGACAGGAGATATTTCGTCTTGTAATATCAATATCATCGGCGTACGCCAGTAGTTGTACAATCTTCTATAGGATCTTCTATAAGATTCTCTATTCAGCTCTGCAGCTCTTATTATTCTCGCCAGCATCAAATTGAAGAAATCACACGACAAGGTGTCACCCTGTCTGAAACTTCGTTTGGTATCGAACGGCTCGGAGAGGTCCTTCCCAATTCTAACTGCGCTTCTGGTGTTGTCCAGCGTCAGCATACACAGCCGTATAAGTATTGCGGGGATACCAAATTCAGACATATCGGCATAGAGGAAGCTCTTATTCATGCTGTCGAAGGCGGCTTTAAAATCGACAAAGTGGTGTGGTGTGTCGATCCTCTTTTCACGGGTCTTTTCCAAGATTTGGCGCATGGTGAATATCTGGTCAATGGCTGACTTAATAGGTCTGAAGCTACACTGATAAGGTCCAATCAGTTCATTGACGGTGGGCTTCAGTCTTTCCCACAATACGCTCGATAGGACCTTATAGGCGATATTAAAGAGGCTTATGCCACGGTAATTGGCGCAGACTGTGGGGTCCCCTTTTTTATGGATTGGGCAGAACACACTTAAATTTCAATCGTCGGGCATGCTTTCGTCCGTCTTTTCCGTCGTCATTGATTGGGGTTTCAAGTTCTTCATCTCCGCATTCTACATTTTCACAAAAAAATAAGTGAGATCAATGCCGGAAGTTTCGAGGAAATGAAGTATCGTTTAAGATAATCCTTCTCCAGTAAAATCTTCAATGGGAGTGAAAGCTATCAAATCTTCACAAACTTTGAATGCTCCTTCATCCTGATGGAAATATCTGACGCAAATAGACATTTTTTTAATTCCAGCGATAACTGAAATTTCATCCGCTAACACTGAGAAAGCCTGTGATTTATTTATTTCACATATGATATGTTGTTGAATATGAGAGTGGCAAATAGCGATCAGTTCATTTCGAATGCGATATAAGTAATCGTCGCATTTTTAGCTGCGTTTTCCAAGAATTTTTGGAATTCGATGTCACTTTTGGCAAGATCTCTCAACAGCGCACGGAAATTCCCATCGTTTGGCAAAGGCTCTGCTAACGAAATTTTGTCTGTGTCTTGAGATCCCTCAAGTTCCAAATCATGCCGACCACATAAAAAGATCGTTTCAATGACTGGGACGAAGAAACTTATGCTTTTTTTGCAAAATATTTCCTTATTTACATGTAAGCTCAAGCAATTGATTGGCGGAGCGCTATTTTGTGATATACCGAATTTTGGTGATGAGTGAAAATGTCTAAAGCTTTTTTCCAATTTTTGAAAAGTTTCAATACTAACTGGCATAATACTTGATTTCCAACTCCTCCTTCTTTAACAGAAAATATCACGCAGCATATACACAAAGCCTTATCATCTTTGGCTGAATAAGCTAACAAAGCGTATTTCTGCAACCAAGTTTTTGGAAATTTTAAATTTTGTGGTTCGGTTGAAGAAAACTTAAAGGTATCGCAAGAAATCCAGATCTTGTGTTCAAGGGGTTATATACCTAGTTTGGTTTCAAAAAAAACAAAAAAAAAATTTATATTCTAAAAGTATTTAATGTCGACAGTTTTGTTTTAAAATTTCATGCCAATCGGATTACAGCAGTGCAAAGTATACCGCACACAACTATGATTAAAGCAAAAGAGCCGCCCCAACTCATAAATTCATGTATATAAAGGTTTTTGCGCTTGCTGATTTCGAATTTGGTGTTTCAATTTTGAAATTTGAAATGGCGGATCTACAATAAAATGACGAACTCTAATATATTCATGTAAATATTTCTACACTGTAAAAAAAGTGTAAATTTATCGTTCTGAATGGGTAACTTTGTGTTACCAAGTCGGTATGTTCTCAAGCTTAGTTTATGTTATGAAGACTTCACATATTTGCATAAATGTAAACGCCATATTATTTTGTATTATGCAATTTTTCATGAACAAAAATCGCTTTTTAATAACGCCAAAGTGATATTGCATAAATAATTTAGTTTTTTATAAACTTAAACTGTCATTGCCGGGTCTTGGTCTCTGACATATGTATGAAACGACGAATGTCCATCTTTACAAGGACTTCAGTAACTTCGAATATGCATATTATATGATACAGAAACTTAACAACAAATGTAATAATTAACGTTGAATGGAAGAGTAATCTATTTTGCCTCATCCATGAGTTCAAGTAAACGATCAACAATAACCGAGCACGATTGAATTTAACGATACCAAAGGCACGAATCCCACAAGGACATCTCATGCGCAAAAGTTTTCTTGATGCGCATATCACTATAAAACTTGATGTTACGCCTGCCCGTATGACATATGGCTCAGTGCCAAAATCACTAGATAGTGTACACTGCAAACTGGTGGCTTGAAGAAACTTTGAAAACAGGCCTATATTTTATTTAAATCTCCAAATATTGTTGTATTGAACTCATAAAAGACGAAAATTGACTTTTCTTCAAGTAAAAGCCTTCGATGTAAAAGAGAATCATATTTTCCATTTAAATTCGACGATGGGAGGGCTTCAGCCGATTTCTTGTTTTTTGAGCGGGCGATTGCTATTCGAACTACTTCCTGGTCAGATAATGGAACGTCTTTTCCTTCGTCATCAATCGAAGAAACTATGTCCCTTAAGACTATTATATTTATTAAGAATAAGCCTAAAAATGGTATTCAATAACTCGCTGTACCCTGCGGGTGCTGATACATCACCAACTAAAATAAATTTTATTGAAAAGCATTAGCAAAATAATCAATTCAGTTTACTTACTTGTTTCATTTCAAAAAAATTGTGACAATGACGCCTTTTTTTAATTCGCTATGAATGCATCGGCATAATTCTGTCATATGCAATGCGTTTTTCTGGAAGCAACTACGGAAGATTAGTTCCAAATGTTCCCAGTTCGTCGGAAACAAAGTTTGTTTGTGTTTGCAAACCAGGATCGAAATGGACGTTCGTTGGCCATTTCGAAGCAGGCATTCCCAGTTGCACCACTGCCTTGTTAGAACTGAATGTTCGGATTTATAGTTTGCGCGCTGCGAATCAAAATCCACGTATTTTCACTCTGCAGTACTTGTAGTTTCCCTAAACATCATTCATATCAGGTGCCTGTGCAGGCGGTGTCATCAAATGGGGACCGTTCCATATGAGCCAGGATTGAACGACTACTGTTTTGTGTCTTGGGTCGTTGCATTGATAACAGCGGAATTTTTCTTTTATACCAAGATTCTCGGCACTTTACAGCAAATTATTTCTCAGAAGATTGAGGTACATAACTTTGTCCATTGTTGCTTTAATAAACTCCAAATTTCCTATACCGGCTGCGGACATACAACCCCAAACCATCACACTTCCCCGCCATGTTTCGCTATAGCTCTCAGGTTTTACTCATTTATCTGTCTATTCTTTCTTCGCCAAACGTAAAACATGCCGTAGTACCCAAAAATATTGAATTTTGACTCGTCTGAAAATATAACCGTGTTCCAAAAATCATGGGTTTTACAAACATGTTCCTGAGCGAACTTTAATCGACAAATTGTTTTTTTTACTATTAAATGGTTTCTTACCGGGCAACTCTATCATTACAATCATGTTCGCGGAGTATGCGGCGGATAGTTTCAGCGCTGCATGTTTTCCCTAATTTTTGCTGAGCATCTACGACCAATTTTGGAGCCAATAGTTTGGGGCCTACCTTAATTTTTTTAATAATATAACGCTCGTCGGAAGCACTAAACATTTTGTTTGGCTCGCTTCTGTCTTTATTTTCCACTCGATTTTCATGTAAACATCGCTTCTTAATATATGTTACCAAAAATTAATGAAAAAATTTCCTGCCAGCTGCTTTAAGTTTTTCTGCAATGCGAGTGTTTAGAATAAGTACCATAAAAACGATAGAAAATCACATGCCCGAAAAGAATTACCGCTTAAACAATATGGCCGATATTTTTTTATAGATGATCCATTAATATCAAGTTGTGTTTAAGTGAAAGACATACAAAATTAAACCAAAAACCCCGCCTGCAGTTTCAATAGATTTTTCAAAATGCCGACCTCCACCAAACTAATTATATAACAATCACGTCAGCAATGGAAAAAGAATATTCGGACTCTGCTGATAATTCTAATGATTATTTGGAAATTGAATTGAATGATGAAGAAGATTAAATCTATTTGTATATAAAACTTTAAAATAATAGTTTAAAAAAATTGATTTTTCTCCTTGAGTGTGGATTGAAGTTGTGGCTTGTTTGCTGAAAGAAAATTCAATAATAAAATTCTGAATTTTTGTGCCAAAACTGATTTCGATAGCTTTAAAATTGGACTTTATGCAAAAATGTTGGCCTTTTTGCCCATAGTACAATGGTCACAAACGCTGAAGAAAGTCCGTTGGTTAAGGTTTTAAAAGTTAGAAAATATGATGAAGGAAAGAGTTTCCCTTTGTCATTTGATTTTTTGCTAGCTAATTTCCATATTCTTCGATAGCATTGGAAGGCTCATATTTTTATATTTTTTTTTAAGACGAGGAACCCACATACCTCCCAAGCTGCCGAGGGCGGATAATCGAAAAATCTAACCGAAAACTAGGGACAGTCTGGACCGCCCTGAACCCGAGTCCGATCAATTACACTTGCCTCTTACTACAGCAGATTTGCTCATCAACTGCTGGGAAAAAGGAGAGCCTTTTAGTTGTAAACTTATATGTTTAATCGCAAACGGCCTTCTCATGCTAAGATAACAGCACTTCAAATAAAAATATTGTTGGATTTTGTTATTCAAACCATCGATTTCAGTGAAATTGAACCAAAAGGACTTGATCAAATATATAAAATTGAACCCAATGCAGGAAACTATTTATGTGCAGAAATTTCGATCGGCTTAGTGGCATTCTCATATCTGAATGTTTATTAACGCTGACTTGTAGAATCTTGAGTTTTTCACCTTGTTTATTTCTATTTTATTTTTACCTTAATTCTATCCATTTCTATAAATTGACTTTCTTTCAGTTTCTTTCTCTTAATCTATTTTTTATTTATTTATTTATTTATTTAAAATTTTTTTTTTTTAGCCTTGTTAACTTAATTATTCATATCGCAGAAAATCTGTTGTGCTAGCCAGAGAAGGTGTTGTATCTGACGAATGTCACATTTCGTCTAACATACGGACGCATTGCTGCCTTTCGCAAGGAACCGACAGAGTGTGGTATAATGGGCTGCTCAGTAGCTCCGACGCGTGAGGTAAAGATAATATGCGGCGGGGAGTTCCGTTGGAGGTCTGTTAGTTATCGGTGGTGAAGGTACTGCAGTAAAGGTTTTAGATGCAGTTAAGCGCTGGCAGGCAAGAAAATAACAACCTTTGGCCGGATGAAAAGTAAAACCGACGGTCGTGACTCTCGAAGAAATTCATTATCTTGTGTTCATTGAAGCTTACTAAGAGTTCTTAACAAACATTTCAAACATTTACCTATTACTTTCTTTGAAATGGCAATTATAATATATACATTGAGGAAAATGTTTGAAAGCTACATTAGCCGTACGTGTCACCATAAACATTATCTAGAGCTCCAGCTCTGACCTGATCAACACCCATTACCCTTGGGAGGGAATGCGAAGCCATGCGAGGGTATTTCTCCTCCTAAAAATCCATCGGCCGATCGGAAGCGGCTTTGAATACACTGTAGATCCTTTTTGGAAAAACATCAAGAAGCTTACGCCAATCCCTTAAGTGGCTAAGAAGCACCAATCAGACATATATAATATATAGGAGTATATACGACTACTAGCTGTACCCTGCACCTTTTTGCTTTCAATCATACTCATTATTATATGCATGAAAAAACAATCATGGGATATATTTTACCCTTACTTTATGTACTCAATATTTGTGGGAATACAAAATTTTTGGTAAAACTAAATAACTAATTCAATATGGATCAATACATCCTGGAGACAAGAGTAGCTTTCCTGCTCATCTAAGCCAAAAGCTGCCCCTCTATCATGGGCAGTTCTCATCAAATTACTTAAATTAAATAAGTCGGATTCAAATAAGAAAAGTTCAAGCAGCCCGTAGGAACGAAAATAAATGAAAATTCAAGCAAATTGAACCATAAATAAGATTACTAGGAACCAATTCCTGCATGTTATTCTATGAATGAAGTACATCAAATACAAACAAATTTTTGCTCTATAATGTAGCGTTCAAATATTTTCAATATTCCTTTCAATTTAGAAAATGTTGGGGGGGTTTCGAAATTTATATCGGCTGCTGTATCAAATAAGCTGTGAACCACTGTATAAATAACGATTCACGTTGTTGGCCCGCGATTGACTCCCAACTACTTAACCGATTTTGATCAAATTTGCACACCATGTGCTGTTTGATCCAACTTTTAAGCTTGAGTATTCTGCATTCACTATTGTATGTTAGCTCCAACGATTTAAACAGATGGCGACATCTGTTGACTGGATTGAGTAAGTATTCAATAGACGGCGCTGCTACGTTTAGCCGCTGCAGTACAGCGGAAGAGTTCAATAATGATTTGGTATGAGCGCACACTGGGTCATAAATTTCGCTCGAAGAATTGCATAGGCGCTATCTTACTTTTGTCTGGTAAATTCCAAAAGCCTTACCCACTTTCGTGGATGGGATTATTGTATGTTTGAAGCAATTATTCTTATGGCGAAATGTTGAAACACTACGATTGACCATACATTGTGCTTACAATTCGTGCTACCCTCTCCTCTTTTCCTAAAAAATGTACCATTTAAAAAAAATGTGGGGAATTTTCAAATTTTTTTAAATGTTTTAACATTCAAGTGTGTTCGAGTGTTCGCCTTTCATGACTTCTATATTACAACTTTAGTAAATTGTAAGAAAGTATAAGAAATTGAGAGATTCGCCCACCAAAGTTTAAATCGAATTGAAGAAAATCAGAAGATTGCTAGATTCGCTATATGTACAATATATACTATGTACTATGTACGTTTGAATGCAAATCAGTCTCACAGTTTTAGAGATGTTTCAAGGAAATTTTTTAAGCAAACAGGATATTGTTTTAATAATTTCTGGTTTTTTGAGCAGTGCAAATTCTTTGTTGAAAGTCGTTTTTGAATTCAATCTAACCGCTAAACATATTGATATTTGTCAACTAGTTAGTGAAACAGCTTGGTTTGGATAAATCGATAACGGACCGCAGAGTTTACCGGAGTTACCGGGTGGGGGACAATGTTCAAGTTGAGCACTAGGCTCGTTTCTAAACGTGGTCTTTAATCTAATGTCATAAGAGGCATCTGACGCTGCTCAGACGCATAATAAGAAGGTAAATTCCATTACATACAATGAGCACTTTAGCTGTATCACTTCGCTGATCATTTGAGAATTGAATTCTCGCATATATGAAAGAATATAAAAACATTAATACATATATGCACGAATGGCGAAACATTCATACATATACATACCTATGCCAGATTGCAAAAACTCAAAATAACAGGAGCAATTAGCAAGCGCCCAAAGTTTTGCAAGGACTTACGCTCCCCGCTTAAACAATCATTTTCTTATTTCTGCCGCTTAAGAAATACGACTTTAAACAAATGTTTCAATGCATTCATATGTGTATTCAAATCGTAGAATCTGCTTAGAAGATAACCCCAAAAATAAATTAAAAATCTGCGTGTTGAAAATTTTATAAGTTGCAAGATCAAACATTTCTGAGCAAAAACATTTAGTGTCGGAATGAAGTGAATTTGGCTTGGTAGTAGCAGGAAGACAAAAAAAATCCTATGTATTTTGTTTGTGTAATCATAGTTTCGAAAAGTTAAAAGCGAAAAGTGTTCAGAACAATTTGTTGGTGTAATGGAAAATTCCTAATGCCAAAACTTATCTCTCATGTATTTTATTTGTGTATTTTATTGAAATGGAAGGAAGAACAAACAATCATATGATGTGACAACTTCACCTTAAATAAATTCGCTTTGGAAACTGCCTTATAGAATTTTTGTATCATGTATGTATATATTTTTATGTATGTATATGTACATATATTCTATATGGAACTATGCACATATATGAACAAAAGCGAAATAGATTTTGCGAGTTTGCAAATTTAGGCCGATGGTCTAAGCGATGTCCAATATATCACTGACACTGTGTACCCACTGAAGCGATCTTTGGTTGGGCTTCTCCTCTTGTTCGTGGTGAACGTCGTGATGTTTTCCAGTAAATGGGGTAACCTTCAGTTTATAGTAAGCCACATCCAAACTACCGATGGTATTTTATGACGAACTTTTATTATACATATGTCTGAACGTGCCTTGGTCGTCGAATTTATTTACAATTTAAGCAGCATTTATGAAAATATTTTAAATATATTAAAATATATTCACAATAGAATATATGTATGTATATGTATACCCAAAAGAAATCAAATAATAATAATATTGTATGTATATCGTATTTTGACTTTTGCAGGAAATTGTTTCCAGCCATTCTTCAGACGTTATATCCAAATATCGTATGTTGTGGCTGTACTTAAGCGAGCTTTTGCAATCATTGGGGAATGCTTATGCGAGAACTTATTCTACCTATTCTATTTTTATGTAAGCTAAGATAGTACATACATACATATAAACAAAAATTACAGAAAGCGAAATTTTTATCATTAATACGAAAAAATTGATTGATTTCGAAACCAATCAAGCTTTAGATGTCATGTTAGCTTAGTTTTTTTTGCTGCGTATTATATTTAATTTTAATCTTTTCTGTATTACTTTACGTTTACGTTTACGTCACTCGATTACCAGTCGGAGCGTGTGAAAGTGATTGCCCTTAAAAAGGAGGAGAATGGAGAAAAAGCTTAGAAAAGCTTAAATTGGTAATCACAGTCCTTATATATAATAATAATTGGCGATTTGTAACCGCTGAACCGATTTTCAGCCGAGCTCCTCTTCCAATTTGTGGTTTTGCGTCTTGCTGTTTTTGAAACAAATAGAGAGACGACTGATGGCCTTTTATGAGGAGCTCTATTTCATGTCAGAAATACACTCGGATGGGTTGACACGCCCTGCCGAGGGGTGACCGCAATTGGAAAATTTAGCTTAATTTTTTATTTTAAATTAATCTACTATAACTTTTTGGATATAAGTATGAAACCAGGATTCGAGCCCGAGCCTACAGAATGGCAGTACACAATGCTAACCACTCGACTACCACGGCCGCGAATGAAAACGTAGAGAAAATGAGTGATTTTAGTAGAAGTTAATAAATTATTGAATTGGATTGCTAATGTAAATGATAGGATTTGGAATCCGACAAAAAATTTCATTAAATCAACACATTCAATCAAAATTTTGAAATTGCTTATAATTTCAACAAGTTTAATATAGTTTTTAATGTTTTATTCTTAAATACACAAAAAGTGTTTGGTTTCAAATGTGTTTTAAGTATTTTCTTTTATGATTTTAATCTATTTCGTTTTGATTTGTCAGCTGATTTTCATAAATTTTTGATAAGAATTAGAGAAGACAATGATTTGGTTGTAATTTGCATGGCAATAGAGAATGAATTACCCACTTTTACTGTAACTCGCTCTCAGAAATTTTAAATCAAATTGAGCAATCTGGCATGCATTTGCAGTACGAATTACGATTGAGAGATCGGAACACGTAGTTTGGATGTTGCGAAAACGGCGTATCACTCTATTCACATGGCATGGAATTCGACGGTTTTCTGTTTCGCTGCTTAATTTTTTTTTTTTAATTTGAAAAGCAGAGGGAAAGTAAAAGTTTATATAATATTGAAATTATTGATTGTAAGGGCAGCATGCGTAAAAAAAATCTATTAAATTAACACTTTTCATCAAAATTATAGTCCTTTGCTCTGTTTATAATGTCAGATTTTTAATAACCACCAGGACATTATAGTTTCTTTAATAATATTAACCTGTAAACCTTTATTAAACAAAGGCGTGAATTTTTTCAGTATCTTCAACCGTTATTATTATCTGAACTATTCACTTATTATTACTGTTTTATTTATCACTACTGTTAAGCTTACATTGAAATCTGTTGCATAAATTTTTTCTCTCTCCTATTCAACGCATGCTTGCATATTGAGTTAGTCTCTTTGCAAACATATATAAATACATGTATTTCCATGTTATGCCATGTCTCAGGCGCTATGGAAGGCGAACAACCCGTTAACTCGTATGCTGGTAGCTCGAAAGCTCAAGGAAGTGGTAAAAGATAAAACCTCCTATGATTTCGCTGCAAAAACCAACGTTAGCAGGAGTGAGACCATTTTGAGAAATCTTTTTAATTTAATTAGCTACCATTGTGGATTTGTTTTATAAAATGTATTCTCATAGATCAAAAAAGTTTGATATTGTTTCCAATATTTTATTAAGAGTATACACTTTTTAATTGAAGGTTTATCAACATTGTAATAGCAGTTTATGGTGCTTTTGCCGAGATTGTTGACAATACAGACGTTTCCCGCGATTCATATAAGGAAGTCGGCTTGATTGTGGATGGATTGTATTGTTCTACACTATTATTTATATTTTGTGATTGCTCTCATAACGCCACTCTTGGTGTTGCTAAAGGCATTCAAAAAGTATTACTTGAAATCGATGTACGCCACATTGACAGGAAAGCAAAGAGTGAAATCGATTTATTTATTTTTGCAACTGAAATGAACCCGGCGATTGTAAGCTTAAAAGGTTATGTTAATGTTAACCGTGAACTTATAACTTCGGTAAGTATAGTTTTGTATTCTTAGTAGACAACACAATAAAAACTTTTTAAGTCGTCGTTAATAGTTGACATTGTAGAATCGAGTCGTATCCATCATTCATAAACATTTTTATATGTTTTGTTGTTATATGGATGTACATATATGTAATTTATGCATATTGGAGGATGGGACCAAGTGTGGGAGCTCACGCATGTGAGGAAGGTCTTTGACTGCCATTTACCTGGGGTAGCCTGAAACGATTGATTTGCAAATTAGATTAAAAGCTGACACCGCCGCCGTCCAAGAAGTGCGATAGACTAGAAAACGGACGGAAGTGGACTTTGTATAAAAAATATATTGTCAACATACAAAGAATAAGATTTGCATTAAAAATTAAATGAAACATTCTACAATTTAAATTGAAAACGCGAGTGGATTTTTTATTTCGAAAGAACTCGAAGAAAGTACCTCTCGTAACTATGGTCCTTCGAGGCTAAAATTGATCCAACTTATGATGTACAGCCACAATTCAAAAAAAATTAAATTTGAAAGATGAAGTGCATGGGCAAATAAACATAATACAATTAAATAAAAGTGAACGACGATTTTCGAAAAACTAACATAAAAAAAAGAGAATTTAAGTGTATATAAATTCTAATTTTCAGATTGAAACAAAAACTATACAAGTAAAATATTAATGGTATATACAATTTACTAAAAAAAATTCAAAACTTTGCGACTATACTCGAAAATTAGCTTATTACAAAAATTAAAAAACTTAAATGTATTCTATGGAAGAACTAATATTCGAAAGCTGTATGCACATATAATCAAAATTAATGCACACATATATACAAACGAAAAACAAAACAGCAACAAAGATAACCAAATACATGCATATTACTGATTGCTTTAGAAAAAAGGAACAGGAACTTGCTGCAAGAGGTTCTCACCACAGCAACAACAACCCCGAAACATTCATACCCATCACCCAGATGCAGGATTTCAGAAACATCGCTGACCCCAAATATAGATTTCAGGGAACTTCAGCGTTGGACGCAAACAAAAGGGCAGTAAGATTGTTTTAGGCAAATATATTCTTATATACTTGTTGATTCCAAAAACAACGTACAATGAAATCTGCAAGCATACATTTACAAATATGGAAAAGCAGAAAACAAAAAAATCTTCCCGCGATGTTTTGGTTTGTTGAAGTTCCTTGTATACGTACGTATATATGTAAGCAAGTAACTTTGTTTTCTCAACAATGTTTTTTTTTTTCAAAAACAAGAATTTCAGTAACGCGATCTTGAAGGTTGTTGACCTCAATTTCGAATTTTAATGTTTGCAAATTAAGTAAATGTACATACATACATATCCAAGAGAATTTATTTATAAGTGTTCTGAAGTCCACTTATTAAAACATAGGCACTCTCCTGTGTCATTTATCTTTTTTGTATTTCAACAAAAAAAAAAAAAAAAAAAAAAAAATTTGTACTAGAAAATTAGTATTCTCAAAAAAAAGGCATCCACTCCCGCGTTCACTTTATAATACAATTTGGCGACAATCCCTTTCTTTCTGCTTTTGTGTTCTGCTTTTCTATTTCCTTTTGTGCTTTCTCAAGCCCAACTAGCAGCAGAACGCAAAATGCAAACCAAAATTATGGCTTAATAAGATATTGTACCAGATTTAACTCTTCCCCCATAGAGGAATTTTCAAAAAATCTCCTGAAAATTAAAAATAATTCTCTTGACGATTGGTATAGACAAGTTCAAGACGAATACGATGTCTTATTTCATAGAGACAAAGAAAACCTCCCGGCGAATTTTTTTGCGCTGGCGGAAGGAGAGTATCAATTTGGCATTGATACTTATGAAATAACCAAAGCAAAAATTTCTGAACAATTAAAGTAAATTAAAGCAGTAAATCAACCAATGTCAAGTTCTCACATAGAACCCAGACCTAAAATAGTTTAACAACCGGAAGTATGCCTCCAACTCCCGCCATGTGACACTGAAACATTTTATGGTGGATACGATAAGTGGCCGTCCTTCCGAGACATGTTCCTTGCCGTATATATAAACCACCCTCTTCTATCTCCAGCGCAAAAGTTATACCATCTCCGGTATAAGACAAGAGACCAAGCAGGAGATATAGTTAAACTATTCGCTTTAACTAACGACAATTTCCAATTGGCATAGGATACTGTCCACTCCCGATATGAAAACAAGCGCCAATTAGACGACAACCAGGTCACAAAGTTATTGAACTTACCCAAAGTTCGAAAAGAAACTAGTGAAGAGTTTATTGATTTGTATTCAACAATGACAAATTCTTTATTAGTGCTCGAAACTCTCGGCGCACCCACTGATAGCTGGGACCCAATTCTGGTGAATATATGATCATCCGCATTACCAGAAAATTATCTAATGCTCTGGGAGCAATCTCTTGTATTCTGAAAGCGGTGCCCAACATGGAAACAAATGAAAGAATTCCTATACAGGCAATTCGAAATTAAAACATGCGAATTCTCCTACTTCGCATAGCAAAACTAAGACCATTCTTTCTCCTCAGAATAGCCACCAATCGTGCAAATTGTGCAAAAATAATCACTCGTTAAAGCATTACAAGCAATTTAAAAAATTTCCGATACTTCAACGGTTTAAATTTATAAAATCTGGCAACATTTGTACAAACTGTCTTGCGATGCACCATACCCCTAATCGGTGTATATCACGACATACATGCTTGCATTGCCAAAAGATGCATAACACTCCTTTGCACATAAGCCCAAATCATGGGTTTGACCGAAGGAATAAAAGAAATGTGCCATTGACCTCCCCGTGACAAGATAAGCACAAACAGGCACACTTGATCATCCCGAGTCACGATACACAGAGAAATGATAATTTGACCTCCCCGAGTCAATATATACAGAAAACTGAAATGATCACCCCAGATCATAATTCTCGATCGGTCAGCAGAAATAACATGCAATCGCACTACTTTTTGCATACTCTGATCACCCCTAGATCAGATGTTTCACACGGACGCATTACGACAGGCTCCTATCGGCAGCATGACACACATTCAACTCTAAATCTTCAAAATATTAATAAACAAAAAATTAAGAAAAAGCACTTTCCGCTGCAGTATACTTCTGACTTTTTCCTTCCAGGAAACGGACAACGAAATGGGGTCACGGTTCCTAATACCAATAGAACCTGTCGCAGTTCCGAAGAAAAAACCAGCACTATATTCGGCCTCCACAAAATCGTTGGTTCCCTCCCATCTAACGGATTTAATTCAGCACTTCGTGCAGGGTGGCCCAGTATGCTTCAGCGTGTGCTTAAACAGGACACCACCCTAATTTTGTGTGCGCACCCTAATGATCCTTCATTAGGGCATGCAGCTATATAAGTCTTGCTTGTCAAGCAAAAAGCGAGATTTTCTAAGCAACTGCCATCGAGTGCGCACCGGGATGATAAATATTGGGTTGCCCAAAAAGTAATTGCGAATTTTTTTAAAAGAAAGTAAATGCATTTTTAATAAAACTTAGAATGAACTTTAATCAAATATATAATTGCCATTTTGTTCGATAACCTTTTGCCATCTTCCTGGCAAATTTAGTATTCCACGCTCATAGAACTTCTGGCCTTTTTTCTGCAAAAAACTGAACCAAGTGCGATTTTATAGCCTCATCATTGGATGCATCAAAAGTTCCCAGCCAAGCTCACTCAGTTTTTGGCGAGTGACCAAAGATGTGTGCGGTCTAGCGTTGTCCTGGTGAAATACGACACCTTTACGATTGACCAATTCTGGTCGCTTCTCCTTGATGGCTGTATTCAATTTGTCCAATTGTTGACAGTAAACATCCGAATTAATCGTTTGGTTCCTTGGAAGCAGCTCAAAATATACGACACCCTTCCAATCCCACCAAACAGACAGCATAACCTTCTTTTGGTGGATATCAGCCTTTGAAGTGGTTTGAGCTGGTTCTCCCTGCTTGGACCATGATCGTTTTCGACTAACGTTGTTGTAAACAATCCATTTTTCATCTCCAGTTATGATTCGTTTTAAAAACGGATCGAATTCATTGCGTTTAAGGTGCATATCACAAGCGTGTGTTAAATGAATTTCTTTCAATACATTTGGTACCCAAATATCAAGCTTTTTCACCAGTCCAAGACTTTTTATGTGATAATGAACGGTTGACTTTGGTATATTTGACTTCTCTCCTATCTCACGCTCAGTTACATGACGATCAAATTCGATTAATGCTTTGATTTGGTCATCATCAACTTCATTTGGCCGACCTGAACGTGGCTCATCTTTAAGTGAAAAATCTCCAGAACGGAATTTGCGAAACCAATTTTAACACTGCCTTCCTTTTAAGGCTTCATCACCATACACATCTCGTAACTTTTTAGCAACCTGCTCCGCGTTTTTTCCTTTACGGAAATAATAAAGTAAAATATGTGGGCTCCATATTAAAATTGACGCCAAACAAACAAATGTAAACAAAATTTCGCTCACTTTTTTTCTAAAGCAAGCTAAAGGTAACAGCTGATAACTGACAGAAGAAAGAATGCAAAGTCACAAGCCGTTGAAAAAATTTGTCAACGCCGACTATATGAAAAATCCGCAATTACTTTTTGGGCAACCCAATAATAAAAAACATAAGAATAATTATATATTATATATAATAATTGTATACATATACAAATAGCGGACTTTGTATAAAAAATATATTGTCAACATACATAAGATTTGTATTAAAATTTAAATAAAACAATATACAATTTATATTGAAACGCGAGTGGATTTTCATTTTGAAAGAAACGAACAAGGTACCTTGCGTAACTAAATGCTTTTTATGAACGCCTCGAGCATTCTTATGAGCGTTGCTTCGATACGATTTTTGACGACTTCAGCGTGGGCAAAGAAGATAGGTTCGGTGCAGCTGTAGGAAAATTCAGCCTCTACGACGCAACATCCCCATACGCACTGGGCTGAGTGACTTCCCAGGTACCCGAAATATGGTTATCTACGGTGGCACTAGATTACAGCACAAGAAAATTCAACAAGCTACCTGACTGTCTCCAGATCTAAAAACTCATAACCATATCGAAAACGTTGTGATAGACAGAATTCATGTATGTATGTGTTCTAGATGTGGGTACGTTCCGAGGTACTAATATCTACTCGGATTACTGTCCAGTCGCAGCGAAGAGGCGTACGCACCTCTATGTATCAGAGAGCGTCCGTCAGCAAACACCAGGATAGTTTGACGTCTAAAATCTGCGGAGAGCTCAAGAAAGAAGTAAAACGCATTTGCAGATAAAACAAAACGAAGAAATGAAGAGATTGAGAGCCTGGTAAACAGGTGTGATGCTCGAAAATTCCATGGAAAGATACGGTGGCTTCCGGAAAGTTTCAAAAGCGAAGCAAACTCTGAAAGGATGCAAAGGGGTGATATAGTAACTGATACCCGGAGTATACTGAATTCTTCGAAGAAACACTTCTCTGGCCTTTTAAATGGCGGTGAAAGTGAAACACCCGGCGTTGGTGAACTCGAAATCCTAATCGAAAAACGATGGAAAGACGTTTCATTGCCCCACTTAGATGAGGTTCGAGCAGCGATTGCCCGTTTAAAGAAAACCAAAACAATTTGAGCTGACGCCCTACCAGTAGTGCTATTCTCAACGACCATTGGCACTGCATTGATTACCAAAGGAAGCACAGTACAATGAAATTTAAATTGACACATAATTTTGCTAAAACAAATAATGTGTTTATTATAGATATTATTGTGGATACCAAAGACGCAAATTTTTGCAATTTCACAAAACAGATATGGATTATATCCTGAATCGGTATGTATAAAGGGAAATTATTTTTTCCAATGTAGTAAATGTGGCAGAGTCTTTTTACATAAGTCAAACTTAATTCATCTCTCTTTAATCATTTGGGGTACTTCTGCTATAGTAAGCTTTTAAATAAAGTGTTTGAATGGTGAAATTAATAAGTAATTTTTGACCTACGATTTGTCTTTTCGTCATGTTATTAATCCCGAAATCCTTGTGGATTGCGAAGTTTTTTACATAATTCCTTTGAATTCTATCCACGAGTATACTAAACATACATAAATGGCTTCATAAGCCTATTAAAAAGCAACACTTTGTTTTCTAAGCTTAGTTGTGACTTAGAAACGGTAATACAATGCAAATTCATAATTTTTAATGTAGTTTGCGCAATTTCTTTACCTATGTGGTTTTTCCAGGTGAGTCTCTTGTCCAATGTAAACAACGAGTTCTTTGTGTGGTATTGTATTGCATTGTGTTCTCTGATTTCTTCACATTATTTCAACCAGACCTAGTACCCTATAAAACGTTTCTGGCAAGAGGGCCTGATCGATTTGATGTGATTATGCTGCGGCTAAATGCCTGCTAAATGTGTTTGTTTTCTTCTTGTGACAGCTTCGCATTCGAACAGAATGGTGTTTCCGAGAATGCTCAAGTTTGGTCATAGCAGATTTCAAGCCTGTGCGTATGCTGAGGAGATGCTCTTCACTTTGGAACATCAGCCTTTCGGAGGTTTAATATAAACTGTAGGTCCCTCTATTTGTTGGAAAAACATCAAGACGCAAATACCACAAATTGGAGATTTGTGCTTGCTTATTTTATGCCATTTTAATTACCAGTCTAGTAAACTTATCCCATGATGTGCTCCTTGAATTTCAGCATTTGCGTGTGTACGGGTCTTCTTATGAAATGAATGGCTGAGTTATTGTATAGTTGCCTGTATCGCGATAAGCTTGATTGGGTTGTTGTTTTGATCAAATCTAGATCTAGATGAATAAGCATTGCTTAGGCTCATCACGAGCAAGTGGATCCTTGACCCACAAATAGAAGAGATTTTTCGATCAGACTATTAAGATTAGTACCATTTGGTTTCACTTTTACAGGCCTGTTCTGTCGAGGTAACCAAATTTACTTTGGTATTAAAATTTACCATTCAGTAAGTTTCGTTTCTATTTTGTATTCTGAGTTCACTGTCACCCTGTAAACTTTGTTACCAACGAAATAGGAGGTAACAAAAAATCAGCTGTTCGATTTTGTGTTGTTAATTTATGAAAAAATAAAAAACGAAAATGTTAAAGATGAAGAAAAAAGGGCAAGAAGGCATTTTAATTTGTCATTCAGTAATTTCGCCTGAACAAAACAATTTGTTTAGAGCTTATAATTTTTAGTTCAGATTTTTTAGGCAGAAGTCATCGTTGCTGTTTTATTTGAGGCTTCTCTAAACAACGGGCCGTCTCAGGAATTCGTTGGGAGCAATGTCTAACTGTAATGAGCCAACCTTCTGTTTCGCAATCAGTGCACTATATTTCAAATTTTGTTGTCAAAGTAGAAGCCGGGAATACTTGCTTCCAAACAACAAATTAAATGCAAATATACAAATGAATATTCTTCTTTTTACATTACCAATTGGGAAATTATAATTTGACATGGGTAAAAAAAGCAGTGCTGCCAGAGCTTTTTGAAACATTGTAACCAACTGGCCAGAATACCAAACCCAATATCGGGTGTTAAAAAAGTATCAAAATTTACTTTACCAGTATTAGTGCGAGTAGGCCTAGGTCCAAAAGTTCACTGCGCTGTTTTTTAATACATGGAATTGCAAAAACACTTATAATATAAGTATACAATTTTCTCATAATCTGTTTTAAATTGGGATACCAAAAGAAGTATAATAGTATAGTGATTTAAAAAAGTCTCTGAAATCACATATTTTGAAAAATCGCAATATAACTTATCGATGATCATTTTTATATATTTGGTAATGTTCTATTGCACCAGAGCTAAGCTTTCTTTACTAGCTTAACATTAATATTTATATATTTTATTCTATTTCCAGTTTATTGCAACGATAACGGTATACTTGCTTGTTTTAATTCAGTTCAAATTCACATTAAATTGAATCAATTAAGACAAGAGCCGCCAGGAACTCGTATAGCGGTAAATTAATCAATAAATTACATTTCGAAAAATTTATATTAATATGTTCGTATGTATATTGTAAAACTAGAAAACAATAAAAGCACAATTATTAATGGCCCAATCAGAGTTTTTCTTTTCCGCATACATATGTAGGGTGTCGTTTTACCTTCTTGTGGCTACAATTTTTAAATTTTTTTGATAAATTTACTTATTCAAAAGATAAAACGTGCGTTAGTATGGACGATGACAAGATCTGATGAGTCACCGGTAGGAGTTTTAGAAAGAAAGGTTTTACTTAAGTTTTATGGTTTCAGACGAGTTGAGATATATGCCGACATTAACATAGTTCAGCGAATCAAGAAGCAACCGCTGCGCTGTCTAGATCATGTGCTTCGGATGGAGAAGAATACTTGCGTTTTGAAAATTTTTAGCGCATTTCCCGCCGGTGGAAGCGGAGGAAGAGTGAGGTAGAGAAGGACTTGGCTGTACTTGGTATTTCCATCTGGCAGTGTTATTTATAGCCATCTATTTAGTTAGCCAACAAGTTGAGAAATAATTTTTTAACTAAATCAGTTGTTTTTTCAGGAGAAAAGAATAAAACTTCTACCCACAAATGAAGGATAGGTTATCTTCTGGCTTTAAAATAATACGCATGACACTCACTTATTTACTAATACTCAAAAGCCATTTTTGATTTTTTTTTCATATTGTAAAGTTAATTCCCGTTAACATATTATTTCATACCTTTTTAAATAAAATATCAAATCTTTTGCTGAACAAGTTATCGACAATTACTGTATTATAATTGATATTTCTATGGATGTGATTGGAAAACAATGATGAGAACTTCAACTTTGATTTACTAAATACATCAGATAGTTTACGTAAAGGGTTTTCCACTAAAAAATGTCATCGAGAAATCATTTTGACCGTTGTGGCCCATTTCCACTCAGATAAATCGTCTCCCTGCGAATTCGTTCAGTATATATGAAAAAGTGAGCCGTCAGAGCTCTCAGTAGATTCATAAAGAAAGTATGGTGGAAAACATTTGCCATTTTTTTAGCAAAATAATTTATAACGTTGCAAAAAAGCAAACTGAAATTCAACCCGAAATATTTTAATGAAAATTCGGGAAAAAATTGTCGTAGGTGTGATTAATGGTAAAAATTTGCTAACATTTTGAAGAAATTAGATCTTTCGGTACTCGTACGAAAATTTTCATAAACTTTCTTTAGGCCAAAATGAAACTGTTTACAAATCACCAGCAGGGTAGAGGGAAAAATATCTGAGATATCATCGATAAATTATTAGAAAGGTTAATTTTGAATGTTGGTCGAACCAGTCATCCAACTCTGGCAATCCGTGTAAGAGTACGCCATGCCGCCCGACTATTGCGGCCGGTCAACCGAAAATCAGATCAGGGGCTGAAAAGTGTCAATTATATATATGCATTATATATGTAATATATATGCATTATATGCACATATATACAAGCTGTATCCTGCAATGCTTCGCTGTCGCACATAGTCAATGAATGTATAAAAAATTATCACGGAAAATCTTTTTATCATAACTTTATTTACTTATTACTTTTCAGTATACAATATTTTTGGTTTTACCATTGACATTGGTCCATTTTTCCTGCTCATCTAATAAAAAAGCCACATCTGTATCGAATATCACGTAAGTCGAACGATAAAGACAATGTTTTCGAATGGCTCGGTTCTTGGTCCACTTGTCCACTTTCCAGAGAGAAGCATAGTCTTCCTAAATCAACCACTGACCAGATATTCACCTTTCGCCAAATCTTTGGAAATACCAGTGAAAAACCAATCGATACACATCACCTTTTCATCGATATTAAAGCTGCCTTCGACAGCACAGTAAGGAGCTGCCTCTACCTATATCTATGTATAAATTTGGTTTCCCCCAAATCTAATACGGCTGTATACGCTGTGCTAAACAACACCAGAAGCGCAGTCGGAACTCTTTATCGTGTGATTTCTTCAAACTGATGTTCGAGAAAATAATAAGAGCTAAGGTACATGGTACAATCTTTTACAAAAGTGTAAAACTGCTGACGTATGCCGATGATTGATTTCATAGACCTTAACGATCGGAGGTCATCCCCTGTCATCTAAAATTCGCGTCTGTGGCCCTACGTCATTGTTGACATTAAAGGTCGAGGACAATTTTCTCTATTTAGGGACCTACATTAACAGCAATAAGTTTGTTAGCCTTGAAATCCAACGCAGAATCACTGTTGCAAACAGGTGCTACTTTGAGCTGAGTAGGCAATTGAAAAGTAAAGACCGCTCCCGACAAATAAAAACCAAACTCCACAAGTTCCCGTCTCGCTATATGGTGCAGATATCTGATGAGTCGGCCCTGGAAGTCTTCGAAAAAAAAAGTTTTGTGAACGATCTATGGTCCTTTGCGCTTTACCAACTGCGAATACCGCAGACGATGGAATAATGTGCTGTACGAGCTCTCCGATGATATTGACAAAGTTAGGAAATGGTTAACCCAAATCCCAACCGACGACGAGGAAAAGACGTTCCGCTACCTGACCATGTCTAAGTTCGAATAGCGATTGCCCGCTTAAAAACAACAAAGCGGCAGGGGCTGACGGCCTACAGACAGAGCTATTCAAATATGGCAGTGAAGGGCTGACAAGGTGCATGCATCGGCTTTTTTGCAAATTATGGTGCGATGAAAGCATGTCCGACGATTGGAACCTAAGTGTATGCCCAATCCACAAAAAGGGCGGTCCACAGTCTGTGCAAACTACCGTGAGTGAGCGTATTGTGTAAAAGACTGGAACTGATTGGACCTTATAAGTGTGGCTTCAGACCTGGTTCAGACCATTGACCAGATATTCACCATGCACAAAATCTTGGAAAGGACCCGTGAAAAGAGGATCGACACACACCACCTCTTTGTCGATTTTAAAGCAGCCTTCGACAGCGCAAATAGGTGCTGCCTTTACGACGTTATGTCTGAATTTGGTTTCCACGCAAAACTTATACTTATAGAGAAGGCACAATATTCTTTAAGAGTTTACAACTACTGGCATATTCCGATGATATTGGCATTATCGGCCTCAACATCGGCGCCGTTAGTTCTGCTTTATCCAGGCTTGATAAAGAAGTGAAGGGAATGTGTCTGGTAGTGAACGAGGACAAGACAAAATATCTCCTATCATTAAACAAACAGTCATCGCATTTGCGACTTGGCTCCCACTTCACTGTTGACAGTCATAATTTTGAAGTCGTGGATAATTTCGTCTATCTAGGAACCAGCATCAACTCGAACAATAATGTCAGCCTTGCAACGCCAACAGGTGATACTTTGGACTGAGTAGGCAATAAAGTCCTCTCCCGACGAGTAAAATCCAAACTCTACAAGTCATTCATCGTACCCGATCTACTACATGGCGCAGAGCCGTGGACGATGTCAACAGCTGATGAATCGGCTTTGGGAGCCTTCGAGAGAAAAGTTTTGCGAATTGGCAACGGCGAATACCGCAGACGATGGAACGATGAGCTGTTGGAGCTATACGATGATATTGACATAGTTCAACGAAGGAAGAGGCAGCGGCTACGCTGGCGATGCAGTACTCACCGGTGGAAGAAGAGGAAGACGAAGACCTCCACTCCCTTAGAAGGATCAGGTGGAGAGTGACTTGACTTCTCTTGATATTTATAACTGACGCCCGACAGCGCAAAAAACAAAAAAGGGGTGAATGGCGCGCTATAATGAAAAGGTATTTTATCATATTTAACCTTGTGGAAAGTCTACATCTAAGATTTTAGATTTTTACAATGTGCCTTAAAACGCTTCTTGGAGTCTAATGCTAATCCCAGAACTTTTAGTTCTTTGACAATACTTAAATTAAGGTTAGAGCAAAGGTTATTTGGACTAGCTTTGTAATGTTTTTTGCAAAAGTGAAGAATTTTAATTTTCTCAGTGGATATGGTAATTTGGGACCACAATGTTAGTTCAGCCAAAATATTTTCACAGAAAGGAGCGATAATGAAAGGAATGGAAAATGTGTAAAATTCGACATTGTCGGCGTAAAGAAGACATTAAATATCGCGGATGTTGGTTGTTCGGTGAACGATTACGTAAGAGGCAGTAATAAATAGAAATCCAGATGAAGGTGATCCTTGTGAAGTATCATTATCTGGAGGTACTGCATTGAATTGATTCTAACTATGCTGTTATAATACAAAGAAAATTTTTTACGAATTTTTAAATTTTCCGACCTATTTTCCAAGCATCAAGTTGTGTCATGACGATATGTATACCTTTTGAAAGACGAGGGATAATGGTGATACGTGATTTTAAGCAGATAATAACCTTACGCTATTTAATTGGGGCTGATTTTCGATCGAAGTGGACATGTTCTGAGTAATAGAATATGAAGTTTTGTATAAGCCACAATATTTCCCTTTCGCTGAGGAAAGTGCAATTTCAAATTCTGCATATCGGATTTTCGATTAAAGTTGATTTGCTTGAGATGATAAGGAATAAGGAGTTCATAGTCCACGGCCCAGTCTTTCAATTTTAAGGCTACAAAACATTCTAGCGAAGGGTGAATCGGATGAAGCAAGGAAAAAGGAGGAAATATTGGTTTGGCATTGTATTTTTTGTATTTCAACAATGATAAAACTCTAATCGCCAAAGATACCAATATGTTTTTGTAATTGTCTTCTAAGAGGACGAAGGTTTATGTAAAAATTGCTTTGCTACAATATGTCTATTAGAAATTCAGGAAAGATGACCGATATATGAAAAAGAGTTTGAAATTCTCTCTCCGTGTAAACCGGCCAAATAAACTCAACATTATTACGGAGTTCATTCGATCCTGTTCTGTTTATATATCCTTTCAAACGCCACTAATATTTCATTTTGTGCATCGTCGTCGCTTTCGAAGCTTAAGAATGCATTATCGTCATTGTGACCTAGCAATAACCTCGCTTCGCACTGTTTTTTTGCTCATTTGCTCGACACTGCCAAGGGCCTGGATTCTTTCCATCTCGAACCTAAAAATCTTGGTTCCTTCTTAATATAGTGACGAAGATATTACAACAATTAGTCTTGAAGTAGATGGACGGAACTTCAGATTATCTTCAATATACCTGACGCATGACAGGAAGTACCCACCCAGTCCGTGGTTTAGCTGGTGCAGGACAACAACGAACCTTTGCTTCGTGCAGGAGACGTGAAAGCCCACCAGCTTTAGATATAGTCAGAGATTTTGATATGTGGAATCTAAGGAAGGTTTTCAGAAAAGCTTTTAACCCGGCTTCTGCATCCTCTGAAGACGAACTATGGGAGGAATAAGAAAGGCAAAAAGAACCTCTTGGAGAAACAATTGCAGTAATGTGGATGTGACGTCTGAAAGGAGTATGGGAAAGTGCTCTCAGGCACCTTTCGTTCAGTGTCGGGATGCTTGCAGACGCTCGACGAAACGTGGGCAGTGTCTGCGGAGAAAACTCTTAACCTTCTCATAAATGTTCACTTTCCTAATGCATCCACAAGCAGTACAAATTACATACCCAATCGAAAGTTGTCTTTATTCCCAAATGTGAAAAGATGACTCATAGCAAAGTTTGACATCCTTTCTACCTCAGGTAGCGGAACGAGTGACTGAGATTTGCATTAGGTCTAATGTGGATCATAATCTCTCGAAAAACCACCACGCACATATGAAAGGCAGATCAAAGAAGACAGCGTTGCATTCGGTAGGATCACAGAAGAATACTGCCTCGTTGCTTTACTGGATGGTGAGGGTGCCTTCAATAATATAGGTTCTTCCTTCTGCCCTGACTTACCGAGTTATCGAGTAATTTCTTTTATACGCCAAATGCTCATTTGCAGGATTTTAAGATCTGAGATTGCAGGGATAACGGCACTTAAGTATTTCAGCAGATGAAATCCAGAAGGTGGAGTCCTGTCGCATCGTTAAATCGTTAAGTCTGTGACATATCTCGGACTCATCCTGGACAGAAAATTAAGCTGGTCACAGAACTCAGAGGAGAGAATGCGCACACCTTGCTTCCCCCTTTACCTGTAAGGGAGCGATTGGTCGCAAATGGGGCTTGTCACTCAAAATAGTGCATTGACTTTATATCACAGTGGTTAGGCCTATACTTCTCTACAGAGTTGTAATCTGGTGGCAAATACTTGAGAAAAAGTCAACTATATCCAAATTTGATAGAGTAAAAAGGGCAGCGCTCCTGGGCATCAGCGGAGCACTTCGTACTACTCCAACTGTGGAGGGGTTTATTTAAAAGAACTTGGTATCTGTAAATCATTTCGCTTACCGGATCACAGGAGCGTTTTTCAGGCAGTATTGATGCCCCTACACGATGCTGTCTCAGATTAGTGGTTCTTTCGGATAATCGTTTCCATATATTCTCGAATAGCCAGGCCGCATTATAATTCTTACCGTCTGTAACAGTAAAATCTAAAACCATAGAGAACTGCCGCGCCGCAAATAACTTAACTTGTAGGCTAAGTGGTTCTGTCTGAACCTGGTATGGGTTCCGGTTTACAGTAACTTACCGGGTAATGAGAAAGCAGACGAGCTTGCAAGGAATGGCCCTTCCACTTTCGCCATCATGAAAGGGTTTGGGCATGCCGCTCACCACTTGTAAACTCAATCTACAATAGTGATTCATTAATGATGCCAACTTAAGATGGAGTAGTCTCAACACATGTAATGTGGTCAGGACAATATGGACAGAATAGAACAGTAGAAAGTCACGTGACTTGGTCGAGCTGAAAAGGAAGGGTATGTCTACAGTGATAGGCCTTCTTTAAGAACATATCTTATTGGGCAGCCACACAGATAGATTGGGCGTGCCATTTAATTGTTTCTGCAGAAGTTGCAGACAGGAAAAAGCAACGGAAATCTTAAGACACTTTCTTTTCGAATGCCCATCACTTTGAAGGAGTAGCTGAAGTCTCTAGGGTCGGCAACATTTGGAGACCTGAGCGAGATAGCGTTGGATCGAGTAGCGGGTGGGGGTCTTTTGGATCCTCAGTGGTAGTGGTTGAAACCTTTCCATCACGAATTTGCAACTTTCTCTCCAAGCCAAACTACAAAATTGCGCTCTCTCATTACGAATATTACTGATTTTTTGCCTCAGCGAACGCGATGCAATAAATTTCAGCGAAAACTCTTACTGTCCATCTAGTCACCGAACAGAACTAAAATTATAAATCATAGCACAGCGGTATGGCAAAATGTTAGTATAGTACTTTTTTTTTTGCTTATAAGAACATTTTAAGATAATGGTTTATATCAAGGTATCTAAAAATTACAGTAAAGGCGACGGAGTTGTGGTGGAAACTTTTTAAGTAAGCCTTTCCAAGGAATTTAAGTGCCAAGGACAGGTTCAACACATGTGAATGGATGGAATTAGGTGAGTTTGTCACATGTGTAAACCAAGTTTTTAATATTTTTCTTGAGCAGGTTTGGTCGGACTGGAATGGATTTATTTACAAAAAAAATTATCACACCGGTGGAGGTTAGTTCAATCAAACTCACGGTTATATGGCCTTTATATAAGTGCCGAATGTGTAATTCGGTGTAGATGAAGTAAAAATAGATTTGTCGGATGACGGGAATCCTGCACTAAGAATACCAACGATTGCAAATGAGCGAGGATAGTTCGTCACTTATGATATCCGTATTTTCGCCACGCTGCACATTATTATGTAATTAATTAATCTGCTTTATTGTTCTTACGAAGGTTAAACTTCTTTACAAGAATTTTATATTCGTCGACATTCGTCTTCATTCCTACTTTCAGCCGCACTCCTGAATGCAGTCTAATGTGATATTTTTATCTCACATTCTTTTTTTCTGAACGAGAAGTGTTTTTTATACATCTTTTCGTTTTCTAATATATATTAACCAAAAAAATCATTTTATTCAATTAGCTTTCTTACTCTGCTTTATTTCTTATCAGTTGTTTTGTAGCACAGAATTCATAACTTAAATGTCTGAATGAACCCTTTAAAGCATACCTTTCTTCACTCCAGTGCAACAATCAAGTTACAGACAACTTGCAGCTCCCTTAAAAATTTGGAGATTGATCTTACTTTCGCCCGTTTGAATAAACAAAAACGACTCATGTTATACATATATGCCCAATTTCATTAATATAACTGATCTCTACTACCAAAGTATAAAAACAATAGTTGAATTAGCTGAAAGTAAGCCTCGATTTTTTTTTGCTTTTATTCAAGTTTTCCATACATTATGTAATAAATAAACTAATTTACCAATCCAATGCACTCCGAGATTCTAAGAAAGATTTACTATTTTCTGTATAAAATTGAGAAAACCAATTCCGAAAATTTTTTATAGCGGCATCTTCTTTAACCAACTGTGGTTTGCTTCGGTATGTTTTGTTATTCCACATTACAATGTCTCTCTCAAACTATTCGTTAGTAAAAAGAAAGTATTATTGAATATCAAAACAAATAATTGTAAAACCTTACCATAACGCTTTCAGCGAAAATCATTAGCTTTATAAGAGGGCCGAAAAATTTTTGTGCGTAGAATCTATGAACCACTTTTTGAATAAGAGGTTCAACAGGTGTAATAGTTTGTAAAATCTCAATTTGTCCGAACAATGATGATTTTAAATGCAAATGCACGAATGAAGGGCCAATCTGTTAGAAAGAAAAATTTATTAAAATTGCGTGCAATAAAAATGGTTTATCTTATCAGTATGTATACCTAAAATCCAACACCAATTTTTAGGTACGAAATAAAACAAATCTCAAATCTTACATTGATATTACAAGATTTAGAATGTACTCCATAGACAAAGAGCTTCGCTTCAGCGGTCATAATAAACATTCGTAAAATAAGTTTCAATGATCTGAAATACAACTTAAACATCACTTTGTTCATTAGCATGTAATTACCAGGAGGATACGAGGGAGATCAATCAATGTTTAAAAGATGCTCAACTTACGGAACGATACCATTTGAAATATTAACCGTTGTAAAAAATAAACTTAACGAAATAATTTTTTTTAGCATCACGTTTACGTTTTTGCTTAAATAGATGTAACTTTTTACCGAACGATGATAGCATTTGGAGAATAATGGATGAATTGGAAGAAGAAGTCCTTACTGTATTACTGAATAAACCTAAGAGTTCACTAATCCGCTCTCTATCAGCAACATCTCGATCTCCATAATACCTTACCGTTGTGGTCATCCGGCACAAAGGCTGCTATAGATAAAGACGTGAAAATTTCGGCCATAATTGTAAAATAGGCAGTTGGCAACCCTCGATACAACATGAGAAGTGAAAGAAAGAAAGATATTGGGAGCCTGCATAACTTCACTCAGCATACGACCGTAATTGCCGCAAAAATCCAGAGCTGCAACAAAATACTTACAGAGCTAGCCGGCTGCACCAGAAGTAAAAATAACAACGAGACTCAGATGAAGAAGTTACAGGATTACCAGAACATTGCTCTTAGGGCCGCGACAGGAAACCTCCTTCACTTGCACAGCGAAGTATCTATGCCACGAGTTAAGGAGCATAATTCCTTGCAGTGCAGCAATTTCTATTGGGATGCTAACATAGTGAGGCATTTTTTTTAGGCATTTCATTGAAGTCGAACCTCCACCCAGGCCCATCAGAAAGGGAGTACCAGGTATGAAGGATACCATCTAGCAACACGTACAAGAACAGCTGGACAGAACGGCGTGGAGACAACCACTAAACGCCATTCACTAAGAGTCCGTTAACACCTTCACCTGTGAATGGAAGACGAAGAGCTCTAGCTGTCTCGTGAGACCCGCGTAACACTGACGCAACTTATGTCTGGATACTGTAGCAGGTTAAACTTTTACTTACCCAAAATCGACCTCAACATACCCAACGTATATCCTGCATGTAGACAATCTTCGCGACACTAACCACCTCTTTACATGCCCCCTGAGACCGCCTAATCTAACACCCCTCCCCTTCTCCTTCCGGTCCGTCGAAACAGCACTTTTCTTGGACCGCCCGCTACAACAACAAAAATATCACAATATAAACAGAAATACAATCAAGATACATATAATATATTATTTATATCATATATGTACATGCGATACACAAAATATGTAAATACATTTTCGCTGTTGTTAAACGCACATAAGATAACGGACAAAAATGTAACGCATATAGAAGATTAGACGCAAAAAAACAAATTGGAGGAGAAGCTCGGCCGAAATCGCTTCCGCTTCCAGATACAAAGCGCCAATTATACATAAGGGTTATCCATTTCGAGTTTTCCTACTTTTTTAAAGAAAACAACACACAGAAAATTCAGATTTAATGGGGAATGTTTATTATCATTCGAAAAAACATTCTTTGGTATTTATTTTTTGAAAGTTATATCTTTCAAATAATGACCACGGCTACGTCTCATCTTCCAATTTTCGTAGACTCGTTAGACCATTTCGACTGGTAACTGGGGAATGAGACACATGAAGTTTTACTATAAGCGATCAATGGAAGTGGGATTGTGAGGAAAAAGTCTAAGGGTGTGTTTGGTTGCCAATCGACCGGTCCAAAACGGTCCAACGAAGTGTTATCTCAGTAAATCCATTGATTAATGCAAAGTGCACCGGCACCGGCATAATTTTGAAAGAGCGGCTTCAGTTCTTGCACCATCCGAATCTACTCGTCATGGTCTACGTGTTCACTCTCAGCTGCGATCGCTAAATTTTCTTAACTGTGTGCTGAATCTCAAGATGGCTAAAGGTGTTGCGAATAGTAGGTCAGTAGGCCAATTATGTTGACCATGAAATGAAGGAAGCGGGCGAAAAACATTCTTTTCGTAATAATGTTGAACGTTTTGTAAACGTTGTTCATGCGTAACGTGAAACAGTACTGAAAAAAATAACATAACAGTTTGACATAACTCACGCGTGATCAACTACTTGGATACCACGTTATATTTATAACATTTGTATTTACATACTATATATGTGTATATAAATACTACTTAGGAGCGACCATAATTAGAAAAATTAGCCTATGCTACAACTACCGATCTTACATACATCCCAGCCATAGCAACCTATCTTATGAGAGCGCCATGTAAATGAAAAGTTGTCACCGCTTCCTGATGCCGTTACTGATGGTTGTCTGGCTGAAACCAGTGGCGATTTCATTTCCTCCGTAAACTGATTTATACTAGTTTGCCAATATTGACTTTTTTAAACGAATATTAAATAAACTAAGAAAATGCGTAACTTTTTCAAAAGAAAAGAAAAATGAATTCGTAATTAATTAGTTATTACCATACACAATAGATTGGCGTTTAAATTCAAACATATAAATTTAAAATTTCGTCGATGATAGCAGCGTCGATAACTCGTGTAAGCATATCCCACTTACAGTCGGGCTGTATGCCTTTAAAAATGGGTAGTTGCTGCAATTTTCTATAACTTCTAAATGTTGTTTGAACCCTGACTCAAACCCTGGCACAGCTTGCGCTACGAATGTAGAAATAATTCTAATGTTCTTATCGAAAACTGCAAGAATAATAACGGGATCACCGAGATCCTTCTCCAATTTGTGGTTTGTGTCTTGATGTTTTTATCAACAAATGGAGGGGCCTAGAGTTTATACTAAGCCATCTCCGAACGGCTGATGGTATTTTATGGGGAGCCTTTTACTTCATGTCGATAATACACTCGGAGGGGTTGACATGATCTAGCTTCGGTGATAAATTATCCTCTATTTGAACTTAAAATGTTGGATACAAGTATTTTTAAAAATTTTTTTTTTTTTTCAAAAAAAAAAATGTTGAAAATACTTTTACTTTCTAAAGCAGATTACCTACTGCATTAATAAGTTCTGAACATGACCTGAATTTTTTAATTTGTAAAATTATTGTTCTCACCTCTCCATAATCTTATCCCATTTCTTATAGTTATTAAATTCAGGATCTCCAAAAATCTCTCTTAAACTACTCGTGAGAGAAAATGGTTTAGGTAAATTCTACATATGTATGCATGTTTGTTTGTAATAATTGAACATAACTGTGTACGATATTCTATTTTGTTCGTACTTAATTAATTAAATATTATTATTGCATATTAATGGATTTAGCGACCTTTTCCGACCACAGGGACAATTGTATGGCAGACGATCTTGAGGGATAACGAACCCTTCTATCTACAATATAGCATGGACACCACGCAGGTATCTACAATTAACAGATATGAATATATAATACATAATTTCATACTTTTTTTTGAGAGAGTTTTCACCAAAGCTTATGGAAGCTACATATAATATATGTTAAACGTGCTGAGGCTGACCAACTTTGCCGGTGACCGATTTCCGCACAGCAAAAATCACGCAATCAAATCAATCACGTTGTAATTACAAACACAAAGAAGGTTTGACGTCGAAAAGCTGCAATCTTAACAGATAGACGAATTGTTTTCTGCTCGACTTACACACCTGCTTTTTTGAGAGCACTTATCAGCAACTCGATCTAAGAGAACTGTGAAGCCTCTCTATGTACCGCCTCTACGGAAATCAATCGGAATAAAGTTAGTACAATGTCGAACTGCAGTGAAGAAAAACAGGCTGCATACCTCGCAAGCTTACGATCGACCTCTACACGTGCAGAGTTGAATATATACTAAGACCTGAAGAGGGAGAGAGAAAGAAGAATGGAGCCGAAATAAATGTGTACAAAGACCTTGAGAATCGGCCGACCAGTGTATTGCTCAAAAATTCGATTATAATATGCGGCGAATAAGGAGCATACTAATGTAGGAATCAATGTGAATATCTGGTAAGTCCAGAGCAGAATTAGTGTATGACGGCAACACTAGCTTTCTAGCTTGTTGAACGGCAGTGAAAGAGCAACACGCGGAGATTGGGTACCCAAAACACCAATCGACTATGAAGGAAAAGACGATCTTTCACACGACAATGCCGAGGTTCCAAAAGCGATTGGCTGCTAAATAGCAACAAAGCAACAGGAGTCGATGACTTACCGACTCTCTAAATACGACCTGATATGGTGCTACCATCAGCTTATTTTCAGAACATGTTCGAGTGAAAGTGCGCTCAGCGTTAATTACTGTGGGATTAGCCTCCTCAATATCCCATATAAGGTTCCATCGAGCGAATTGTGTGAAATACTAAGGCCATCGTTAACAAGTTGACTGGACCTTATCAGTATGGCCTCAGAACTAACAAATCGAAAGGAATCGATACGCATCATCTCCTCGATTTTAAAGCTGCCATCACAATTTTATCTCAAAAACTGACGGCCAAGGCTAAACCAACTCAACCAACTCAATTCTGACCAGATCAGTAAACATTTTGATTCGACTTTCTCTTCTTCTTCAGCTACTTACATTATTCAGACCAAACTTAAGCTATCATTTCATGTATATGGAAGGTATCTTGATTAAGAAAACTCAAAATATGTTACAAAAAAGAGTGTTCTCTTTTAGCTTGTTCAAACATGTTATCCATTGGGCTGGTTTTTGCCAATATAATATATAATTTAATTCAAGAGCTTGGACTGCCCAATCCAGCTTTGATAAACCATTGTGATCTGCAGAAGAAATTGATACTCTTCATAGAAAATTTGTGTTCATTATGTAAAGGGTGAATTCCGAGATAGATAAGAGAAAGAGCAAATACCGCAGTGATATATATGTATATGTACATAAAGAGATAAAATCTTTTAGATTTTGAAAGTTAATCCGCTAGCTTAAAATATTTTATTTCTCCCTCGGCAATATGTTCAAATACCTAAATAAGCACACAAAAATTACAGAGAAAATGTAATACATAAATACATAGAAATTAGAAAGTAATTAACCGGATGTATGCACTCAAAGATTAATGAAAAATATGAAACAATCAGATATCGATATTATGTTGTATAAATATCACCAAATAATTCATTATTATAGTCCCTTGTATTCGATAACTTTCTTCCATTTTGAAGGTTAAGCCATTATAGGACAATCGAGTATCCCAGACTTCCGTTGCGGCCAATCCTTCACCAGCCAAATAATTCGTGATAGGTCAGTACCAGAAGCTGGATGCATAAGCCCTTCCCAACCAAGCTTTTGGAGCTTCTTTCGAATCCCGAGCGATGTGCGTGGTCTGACGTTGTCGTGATGAAACACGATTCCCCTCTCAGTAATCGGTCGGTTTTTTTGCGATTCAGCAGCGATTCGCAGATGGAAATTCCATCACCCACACATACAGCAACGGTAACAATTTGTGCACAATTGACTTTTACAGTATCAGGACCATAAGCACCACTTACATTTTCAGCGGCCTGACTAAGTTCTTGCCTTTATCGAAGAACAATTGTAAAACATAGCGTATTTTCGTTTGCTGGTCCCATCTTTGACTCAAACACTACTGAGTTAAGTGATTAACACTTCTCCCGTTTTTATTTTAGTACAAAATATCTATCCGACATATGATACCGAAATTGCAAATCGCATGAATTGAGTTGAGGTCATTCGATTTCAACCGGGTTCGAATTTGACTTCGAGCAGCTAATGGTGAAACAGCTGACATGGATTGACATTTGTAGAATATTTTTGTAACAATTTCTGTTTATTTAGGGCCATTTTTCAAGTGACTGTTAATATGAGGATCACGAAACCGGCAGTCAAATCTAACGATAGGCTCTATTCGATTTCATTTTCTCGCATCCTCTCAAATTTTTATTTAATACTAAATAATAGGTAGCAGTGCTGTCAGTATATAAATATTTGAAAAACAAAACATGAGAAAGTTGTCCGATGCATTTTAGAAGTTCACCTAAATCCTTTAGATATTTCATAGGCAGTGTACTCGTAAGTGAATTTACTTATACATACAAATGCATGCATAAAGCCGTGCCCAATGTTAACGTACGATATCTTTTATTTACACATTTCATTTGGTTCAACAAGATAAATAAATTAAGTTAATAACTGAAACAGAATCGGGCCGAGATGGCTACATTAAAGATCTTTTCATGAGACATTAATTAATTCTGATAGAGTCTCTTTAAATTTTACACGCTGTGTTCTATTGCAGAGTTACGAAAAACCCCATTGCAGAAATCTTGGTTGAAAGCCCAGAAGCTTAAGAATTGAGTGAGTACCCCTATCGAATGTGTTACTGAAGTCGGTGTAAATAACTTCAGTTCGCTTATTATCTCTAAAGGCTTTAGAGATATGTGACACAAATTCAAACAAATTTTTAAGTGTTGATTTTCTTTAGCAAAACCCGTGTTAATGAGGAGATCGAAATGGTTTGTATTTATTTATTGAATCTGCGTCTTTATCAGGAGCCTCACAAGAAGTAGTCAGATGTTAAAACTAAATTAAAATATAATAGCTCACTAGCTAGGAATGGGCTACTGGCTCAATGCCGCTCTTCACAGGGATAGTAAGACCCTTCCCTTCGGGCGCGTTTGACTTGTTGCGAAGGCCAAGGGGATAGCAAAGGGTTCGGATGATGGTGCAGTTTTGCTTTGTACTTTTGTGTAACGATTTCAGTCTCTTCCTTGATCGTGTGTATGTTCAAATCTATTCAAGAGTGCGCTTAAGAGGTCACCACCCTAATAGTATGTGCGCACCCTAATGTACCTTTCCCACCTCACGCAGACATAAAACTTTAAAAACATGAATTAAAAATTAGAAATATTTAAATAAATTTAAAAAATATGTATCCCCTCCAAGATACCCTCAAAGAAATGTCCAACACAGCTTAAGGCACAACCCTCCACTAACGCTGTAGTAGCTTAAAGCAAAACGGAGCATGAAGCCTCAAAATGCAAACCACACTAGCCGTGTGCGCACAATGACACAAAAAATGATTGCTTGATAATATAAGATATTGTGCCAGATTCCCCCATAGAGGAATTTTCAAAAAATCTCATGAAAATTAAAAATAATTCTCTTGACTATTGGTATAAACAAGCTCAATACGCATAAGATGCCTTATTCTAATGTTTCCGATTGAAATCTTTTTTTTATATACATCTAGATTTGGCCCGCAAGCTGTACCCCATAATTGGATTCTATACGTCCGTATCGGTTTTGTATTCGCATTTTAAAGTAGGACTTTGTTTTCAAGGCTGATCCCAGATTTCTTACTCAAAAGCCAACATAAACTTCATCTTTTCGGCAGAAATGTGTCGCTTCTAAGTTATTCGTATATCCAAGTAAATGCCAAGGTATGTGACTTTGTTAGTTTGTGAGATAGGCACATCGTTGAGCTTGACAATGGGGCACGTTTTTGGCCTTTATGTAAAAGTGATGGGTTTGATGTATTCATTAACTTCTTCAATTAGTTTTAGGCGCTGCTCTAGCACTTTTGTACAATATTTGTCTAAGAACACTACGTTGTTTTGCTCAAAACTTCGCAATTTTGGAACAATCTTCACAGCCGCTCGTTTCATGTCGTAAAAATTGCTTGCCATGATCCGAATGATATGCTAACATCATCAGCGATCTCCCTGATAGTGATTTGACGATTATCCAAAATCATTTTTTTTAATTGCTTCAATGTTTTCATTTCTTGTTGCCGTGCTCGGCGGACCAGGACGATTTAACTTGTGTTCTGCTCATAGTAGACTCGCCAAACGCCACAGTCACTGTCTGATCACACCTCGTATATTTCAAAATATAATAATTTTCACATGTTTCTATGCGTCGTTCTTAATATTACACGAGTCTGGTCGCAACGTAAACAGACTCTTATTTGGAAACAAAATTGGTAATTAATTTAATGTTGTAAAAGTTACCTGTTTAGCTTGCACGTTTACTTCCAATATATTGAATTTCGGAAACAAATGGATGGAATGCTTTAAGTCTAACGTTGCGACGTGAGTTTTAGGTGAGACCGAAGTGCTCCATCTGTAAAGTTGAAAATTAATTGAAATCTTTTTCATCAATAATTTAATTTAAAGGTTTTATCTTAATTTAGTTTTACGGATAAACAAATAATTGATATCATAGGTGTTAAAAATATTAATGCGACTTTCCTTTCATTCCTAAGAATTCACACAGAACAGCACTACAAATAGCAGCTATTGCAGCTGCCATATTTACAATACAATCATTTATTTATTTTTCTTAAACCCATCATCTATAGTTAACTTTTCTATATTCCTAAAGACTCTACGTTAAAATGTCAGCAATCATGTCACAGTTTAATAGCGCCTTCTCGATATTTATCCCTCGTTCAATGATATGTTAGATCAATGTGATCACTTCTTGAAATTGTGCTTTATTTCTCCTAAATATTGTCGAAAATATACATATTATTTGATTATGGATGTGAGCGACCACCGCTGATTGTTCTCATAGCTCGTATACGATTTATGGTCCCCCCCATCTGCATGGAGAGATGGAAAGCTCTTTACCGTCTGGTCTGGTCGTTTTGAATACAGCTAAATACTTTAATCACCCAACTAAAGAGAGGTACTGTATTTAATCGAATTTCTTACACGTAGTAGAACTGCAGTTCATTAGAAACTTTTTTAATATGCGCCCAATAGTATGGTGCTTTCTGTCTGAGCTAGCTATCAGCAAATCATCATTTGACAGTTTTGGTTATTTACTTATATGTAAATATACATAGTTCGCTTTTGTATGCATGGAAACCAATTTTCTTAAGAACCTTATATAACTTTAAGTTCCATTGCAGTTCCAACTGGTACAATAAAACGATCATTTGTCGGAACCTGCCAGACCGAACCAAAGCTAGAAAGCGGCATGACCTAGGCAACGTAGCCGCTAAACCGTATAAATACCACCGTATAACTCGAACCAGCTCCAAGATCGACGAAATTACGGCTGTCAACAGTGACATGGGAGCCGAGTTTGAGGACAGGAGATATTTCGTCTTCTCCTCCTTCAGCACCAGATCCATTGTTATCGCTTTGCTTCATGTCAACTAACGGTGTATGTACGTCAGCAGTAATAAAATCTTGTAAAAAGTTGTGTTTAGTTTAATTAGCTCTGCTGCTCTTATTGTTTTCTCCAATGTCAAACTGAAGAAATAACACGACAAAGAGTCACCCTGTCCAAAACCTAATTTGGTATCGAAGGACTCGGAAAGTTTCTCTCCAATTCTGACTGAGCTTCTGGTGTCGTTCAGCTTCAGTTTACACATTCGTTTAAGTTTTGCAAATCTAAATTCAGACGTAGCAGCGAAGAGGCAGCTTCTCACTGTAAAGCCAAAGACGACTTTAATAGCTTTAATATTGATTAAAAGGTGATAGGTATCGATACTTTTCTCACGGATATTTTCCAAGATTTGGTGCTCTGTGAATATCTAGTCAAAGATGGATTAACCAGATCGAAAATTACACTCATAAGACCCCATAAGTTCGCTGACGCTGCGCTTTAGTTTTTTACACAATTCGCTCGAAAGGACTTTATATGCGATTTTGAGGAGGCCAATCCTACAGTAATTGGTGCAGGTCAGGGAAGCTTTCGTCCGACCATATTCTACAAATAATTTGAAGCACGTATATTTTCAGCTTTTCACCGCTGTGCTAAAACAGCTTATCCGACTTTGTTATTATTCAAGTGGATAATCACTATTAGAACGTTCACTGCGATTCAGCAAGCTGAAACAGTGTTCAAATACAACAAGTATACTCTAGACATCGTTTACCAGATTTCCGTATTGGGTTTCACATGCGTATGGTCCTTTTTTTGTCAGTCAGCTTCTCAAGCTCTTTATACTCATATACTCGATTTTAGATCCTCGAAAGATAAACCCTAGCTACATGTTTTCCATCAATCACAACAAGATCGGTTTGATTGCGCGATATTCCACGAAGTTTTATGGATTTTTTTGTGCAGAAATCTGGTTTTAATTGTTTGCAAAATGAAAAAATTTCAAAAATGAAATCTTATTTTATGAATAATAATTATATTTTATAAATAAAGATAATTTATTTTCTTTTCTTTAATAATTGGTATTGTTAATTTGAGTATTCTTAACAAATATAAAAACCGAACCGTAAAAAAATAACAAGTTCAAAATTCGCCAAATATTGAGTTGTCAATTAATTCTTTGCAAAATGCCCACATAATTCAAAATAAAACGTAGATAACTTAACGGTACCACAGATTTGAAAACGAGTGAACGCGGGCGTCATAGCTATGCTTTGCTCTTTGCTCTTCCCTTGCAGCTGCTATTTCGGATGAATTTAGTAAGCCAGTTAGTGCTCGTACAGCTAGAAGTAAACTTCTGGAAGCAGATTTAAAAGGATGTAAAGCACGAAAGAAGCCGTGGCTCTCAGAAAAAATCGTTTAGAATGGGCTCACCGATACCTACATTTCACGGAAGAAGATTGGTAGAATGTTTTCCGAGGTAAGCTTAGTTAGGATCGTCTTAAAGTATTAACAGCCATAGCTTCTTACCCTAGAGCAATTTTGAAGACGGAATACAAATCTTATAAAAACATTATCTGGAAGAATATCATCATTTCGGCGATACTAATTTAGACGGGGTTCAATTTCAGCAAGACAATGCTCCTCGTCACAAATCAGCGACTACGATGCGATGGTTTAGAGATAACAGCATTGTTTTGTTAGATTGGCCTGCACAGTCTCCAGATCTTAATACCATTGTGCAAATGGGGATATTTTAAAACGCAAGATTAAGAAACACAGTATAACATCAAAAACTGCCAAGCAGCATGCCTAAGACAAGAGCTGCCGTTATTAAATCAGAGGGTGGACCTACTAAATATTAATGCTATTATCACTAATTCATTTTATTTTCACTGTTTTACTAACGAAACTTCATTACTTCACTTGTTAAAACAAAAAAATTCAGTAATTAGTGGGGAGCCTAATACTTTTCGCCAAGGCTATGTATAATTGATGCTTTGTAACCGCTGAAGCGATTTTTGGTCGAGCTCCTCCTCCTATTTGTGGTTTTGCGTCTTATTGTTTTTCCAACAAATAGAGGGACCTACAATTTGTACCAAGCCGCCTTCGAACGACAGGTGGTTTTTTATGAGGAGCTTTTATTTTATGTCAGAAATACTACTCGGAGGAGTTGGAATTCCCTGCCGAGCGGCGACCGCAATTAAAAAATTTAGCTTAATTTTTTATTTACATAAATAAATTTTCTATAACTTTTTGGATGTTCGTACGACACCAGGATTAAAGCCCGAGCCTTCCGAATGAAAGCACACAATGCTAACCACTCGCCTACCGCGCCCGCCTGGTAATGTAGACAACAAAATTTCGGGCCCGGCGAAGTTGATCAGACACCTTACCTGGTAAATTCTCTTCTCGATTATGCTTACCCTGGCCGCGACATGTCTGGCGTCTTGAGTTCCTCGTTGAGTTGGCGGTTAATCGATTTAATGAATGCATATTTATGTTGTTTTTCTCGGTAAAACCGATAAAGAGTTTATAACGACGGTTCAATTATCCTTCTATCGTGTTCTTGATATGTCATGCGGAGTAAATTGCGTTGAGTCAATACTAGTGCTGGTCTCACCCGTACGGACCTCTCTATCAAGATTTTAAAGTTTTTCCTCTTATTGACGATTAAATAGTCTTTTGTTTTGGAATTAGCTACAGTTTTTAACCAAAACTTTTATGCGTATCTGACTACGAAGCCTTCTCCTTTAGTTTGATTTTTCCCCCCAAGGTGCTGTTTCTCATCATACCCAAAAGTGAAGAAGTTTTCTCTAATCACTTTCAATCGAACATCCTGTTTGGGCTTACTCCAACACATATGCAAGTCTGTATCAAATTTATACCATTAGTTCTGGCATTCGGCTGTGTATGCAACTTGGGGTTCGACAAGGTTTATCGATGTCTCATAAGGTTTGGCGATGTTTCTATAGGGTTTGAAGTCGCATGGGACATATTTTGGAGACATCAGACTTTTGCTTCACATCATAAAACCGATGCGTTCAGATGAAAGGTTTTGGGCAAAAATCTGTCAGAAAAGCATGTGAAAAAAAAATTTCGGAATGGCCAGTTTGTCATGTCGCTTTGTCATTTCTTTATTTAATCATATCTTTCTTGCATGTGTTTTTTTTTCATTTTATGTACGTTGTAAAATTTTAAACCAAATTCTCATTTTCCTCCTAAATTTAAGGTTGTAAGCTCGTAGTGTTTTTTTTTATAGCGACGGTTCTAACTCAAGCCTTTCTTGTCGGGTTTTTTGGTTGAAAAGAAATCAAAACGGTAACTTAGGACTTGGCATGGTTTTATTTTCTTTGTCCCGAATTGCATTATTCATTTCAGAAACATAAAAACAACAGAAAAAATATAAACATAAAAGTTCAAGCAGATCCCTCACGAAGGACCGCTTTTTACGGGGAATAATTATGCGACCCCCATAATTAAAAAAAAAATCGCTTTAAAATGTTTTATTAATAAATTTCAAAAGGCTGCAAAAAACTGGAAATAGAAAACAATAAGAAAATAGCTCAGTCAATCATACAAAACGATAACATCAGAAAATGTTCTGTACTTATATCAGTGACATTTTTTGGTGATGATTTTTAGTGCTAAACAGGATTGCACGTTAAAACATCTGACACTTCGATGAAAAAACATTTATTCTTTTTATTTCCCGGCTTGTGTGTTTCGGACCTCAAAATACATTGTCGTAAATACAATTAAATATTTGTTTAGTTCTGCGCTTGCAAAACTTTTATCGCTTAACCCTTTCGTAGGTACTTTGCAGTTCCAGGGTTCAAATACTGCTTCGACCAACATCCAAAAAAGCTATAGAAATTTAATTTAAATAAAAAGTTAAGTTAAATCTTCTTATTGCGGTCGCCTTTCGATAAGGAATGTCAACCCTTCTGAGTGTATTTCTGACATTAAAGGCTGATGGAGATGGGTTGATACGGCTACTAACCAACGCACTTAGGTCAATAGGCCGTTGTGATACTGCTCTGAGGTTCTTATTTATTTTCGTATTCTCAAATTTTCGAGCAATTCCACGTGTGTATGGAAAGCGACGATATTACCAATTCTTCCTGCAGTTAGCTAAGGCAGCCAGTGAAAGAAGTTATAGTGTTCAATGGACTCTTTCTATGCGACCACAATCATTGGAGTAATAGCCTGTTTCCCATGAAACCCCATCAAACGGTTATTTGTTGTTGCACTCGTCGTTATGCTAATGGATAACCAGTCTGGAAGGATTATATGTTTCGATTTTTTCGCATCCAGTTTGGGCTATAGCTCTTTCATCACGTTGCACGTGATCTCATTCAGCCATCTAATGTTTGCATTTTTGGCAAAGGTCAAACCTAGAATATACTTTGCCACGGCAAATGGTTTGTTGTGGATTGAAGGGTTCCTCTTTTCAACGAGATTTGCCGTCTTTAAAGATCGGTATGGTTCCTTTATCGAGGGTGTTTGTTTTTTCCAATTCGTTTCTGTTTGGGATGTTTGAAGATGTTGTCTAAGCAATCCGTTGTGCTTCGTATGTACCTTTGTACAAAGCGGAGATCTTTATTTTTCCAAGCTCCACAAGATGAAGCAAGGAAAATTGAAAAAGAGGCTTGATGTATACACAGCATTTTTTGGGAAAGGAAATTACGTTTTAATTATGGTTAAATATAATATATGCTTCCAATACTAACTCTAAATAATAATTATAATCAATTACATATACAATTAAAAAAATTACGGCAATTGTTGTATTTGTTTTCCTGCTCTCACCTTTATGAATTCGCCTTGTCAGGGTTTTGAGTGAAACCACCTTGTACTAATACAAATTTTTTATGCCATGAAGAATTTATCAACAGATACGTAAATGCATATTTTATGCTTTTTATGAAAATTAATATTCTATAACTTGCTTTTTAAATGGCTAAAGCTCGTGCATCGTCCAGGCGTTCCATAAGTACTGATACTAGGATGCTTATTGGAGTTATCGCAGATATGGTAAACATATATTATATATAATATTAGTTATTTAAGATGATTCTTCTCAGGAAACAACAATAGGATTTTTGTTAGCAGGCATTGGAGAGACTACTGGGTCGCAACAAATGGAAAAAAACTTCATGATAGTGACGCAAGAAACTCGTATCCAAGATGTGGAATATTATTTTACATATTTGTGCATGCGCAGAAATATAGGAGTAGTTTTCGTGGCAAGTGATGTTAGGAAATTATTGGCTCAAGTTATATCTCGCGTGACGAAGACTATCCCAATCATTTTAGAAATACCTACAAAAAATACGATTGTACAATCTCTTGATCACAAACAGCAAATGCTCAAAAAAATACATTAAAAGACATGAATTCAACTTAATTACAAATATCATTTTTCATAAATCCATTTATTCTTGGGCTTAATTTCTTGATAAATCATCGGAGTATGAGCAAAATCCAATCAAAGGAAATACAAAACAGTAAAGAAAAATTTTATTACAATTTGATTAGTTTCTTTGCTGCTCAATATGTTTGAGCTCTGCTTTCTTGTAAAATAATTCTTCGTAAAAACAACATCAAAATGATCCAATTGAATTCATTAATGTGGATAGCCTGTTCAACTGGTAGTCACGTAGTAGACTCTATTTTTTATATCTTTAGAAAAGTTTTACTATTGTTATGGTTCAAAAGATGGCCGAGCCGCCAAGCTTCAGTTTATACTAAGCCGCCTCCGAACGGCCGCTGGTTTTTGATGAGGAGCCTTTATTTCATGCAGGGGTTGACACTCCCTGCCGAGGAGCGACCGCAAATTGAAAATTTAACTTAATTCAATGATACGTAAATCGTATAAAATTATTGATATGATTCCATACGAAAGCAAACGGATCGTAATTACATGAAAATGTAAAAGATTTCATCTTCATCTTACAATTTTGAATCAGCTGTTCGTAAATGATTTTTCCTCCAATGAAAGTGATGTCGATGAACGAATTTGTAATGAGGCGATTAAGGGGCCAAAGTAAGTCATTAGATTTGTCACGTACATCGTAGGTAAAATTAAAATACATCAACAATTTTCCCAAATGCAGATTTGTGGAAAGGTTTCGACTGACCGAAGAAGAGTTCCAGTATGTGCTGCGGAAGTTAGATTTTCGTACGCAGCAGTCCACAACATCTCTACCAGCACTACAACCAGCAACTGAACTTGCTCTTCTAGCTAGTGGAGGCGATCAACATTCAATTGGTAGCGATTATTTAATTGGGATGTGTCAAAGTACGGTTTCGACGCAGACAGTAAATGTACATAAAGAAATGGATGCCCACGGTTTGTTCAGTTCACACCAAAATATTTTTCAAAATGTATGGAATGGTTTTTGGAAAAATAAGAAATACTTGGAGGTACCAATCAATTACAAATATACAATAACTGAATAAGAATATTCTATTTTCTCTATATACATAAGTAGTAATTGGAACGCATATTGGTGTTCAGAAGCCTGTCGAAAGTTATATAGATTTCAATAGAGAGGGATTTCATAGTTTAAGTACAAATATATATTGTATATATATATACATATCGAAAAGAAAATATATATATTCACGATTTGTAACCCCTGAAGCTCCTCCTCCAATTTGTGGTTTTGTGTCTTGATGTTTTTAAATACAATAAATGGAGGGACCTACAATTTATATTAAGCCGCATCCGAACGGCAGAAGGTTTTTTTATGAGGAACTTTATTTCATGTCAGAAATACACTCGGAGGGGTTGACATTCCCTGCCGAGGGAAATTTTATTTGAATCAATTCTCTACAAATTTTTGGATGTTAGTGCAAGCCTTCCTAATGACAGTACGCAATGCCCTCGGCTACCGCGGTTACAGTGCAGTTATAGTAACTAAAAGTATCTTAATAACAATGTGTACATGTATACACGTATGCATAAATAAATTATATTGCAGATATGTGGTCATGAATACAGAATAATTGCAATCAACTGTAAATATGGAGGTGCTGCTCCTTGTTTCGTTTGTTTGAAAACATTCAATTTAAACAGAAACGTTAACCCATGGTTAATATTGAAGTTACATATAATTCAATTAAAGCAAATTACATTTTATAATTTGTTTTCGCGGCCATGCTATGTATTAATTTTTATTAAGTAAACTATGAGGCCTTGTTGTTTGTATGTTGAATATTTGTTATACAACAAAGAAAAAATGGTAGAAGTGACAGCTGTTTCGGAGATCACCACATCTTCTCATCAGACTTCTTATGGCAGGGATCGAACCAACGGATCCTGACTTAAATACATTTTATTAGGGAACTCTGGTTACCCTCTAGAGGCATGGTATCTGACGCCATATAGAAATACATCTGATGACCCCAGCAATGCTTTTTTCAATGAAGTACACGTACATTCAAAAGCGAGAAGAGTAGTTGAAAGAACAATAGGCATTTTAAAAGGAATGTAATCAAAGAGGAGGGTACGACCCTATAAAAGTAGCTAGATTTGCTAAGGTATGTTCAGCGTCACAAAATATTTGCATAAAGTTTAAAGTTGCCTTCACCATTCTACACACACAAGAGACATTTGATGTATATACATATCGGAGAAGAAATACAGCTAACAAGAATCGGCAATAAAATAAGGAATATCATTAAACTTTCTTTAATAAATTAACTTCAATGCGTGTTATGCCAAAATTCATTTACATATATAGCTATTTATTTATCGCAGAGGAAGAAGAAGACCTCCACTCTGTTGAAGAGAACATGTAGAGAGGGACCTGGCTCTACTTGGTATATTTAAATGGCGCTAAGCAGCGATAAAAAGGAATAAATGGCGCGATATTATAAATTCGTCAAAAATCGCGTAAGCGGCGTATATGCCAGTAAAGTAAGTAAGTAAGAATAATCAAGTTAAGTAAACGTAAAAATCCAGCCAAATAAAATTCCCACTTAAATAAAATCAAATAAAATTAATAAATAAACAAAATAAATTAACCTAATTAAATTATACAAAAATTTCTCCAAAAAAAATAATAATAATGTGAAATGGAAAGAAAAAAATGAATACAAATATACTTGTTTAGGCCAGATGCCTAAATGTTATAATTTCCTACTGGGTTTATTATGTAAATACATCATTTCTTCATCTCTAACTTGTTAATAAAGTTATTATGATTCAACTTACTTTAAATTTTAGTTAATACATCTGCAATATTATCTTTACTAGAACAGCGAATCAATAAAATTTTTGTTGTAAATATCTTTTATATGATGGTATTTAATTTCAATATTCTTACATCCTGTATGATACACAAGATTTTTAAAGAAATACGTTCCCTATATACGATTTTCATTCGAATGATTATCCACCCTAATCTGCATCTGCATAACATTGAATGGCACTTCCAGTTTTATGACATTGAAGCGCAAAATCTCTTGTAAAACACAGATATCGCAATACTCTTTTAGCCCCAGCTAAATGTTCGCTATGTCGAATCTATACAATTTGTCTGTTGCTTTACATCTAATGGTGTTGCTATAGGACGGCACTCTAAGGTTTTGATTTGTTACAGCAATTGCTCAATGTGACCTTTATATCCAATTGCTATTGCGCCCTTCTCACCTTCTCTTTCAACTTCCATACTGAGGAATAATTCGACTGGACCTTTATCCGCAACTTGAAAATACTTCGCGATTTGTTGCTTAACAAACTGCAATTCTTGCTTATGCGAACTTGCAATGAGCAAGTCATCGACATTCACAGCTAACAAATTTATTTTGTCACCGTTATGCTCTGTCACACACAGTCCAAAAGCAATTTTTACTAATATTTCATGCAACTTTACATTCCTTTGACGACCAGCTTGTTTAAACCCATACAACGCTTTATTAAGTTTTAAAACTTTGTTGGGATGATCTTTGCTAACAAATGCTTCAGTCTGCGCCAAGTAAATTTCGTCATCTACGTTACCGTTTAAGAAAGCAGTTGATACATCAACGTGATATAAGTATAACTCGTACTCAGCCGCTAGCTCGAAAATCATACGGATTATTGAATACCGCACCATTAGTGAAAATGTATCAGTGTAATTCACCCTATGTATTTGACTGCATCCTTTAGCTACCAAGCTTGCTTTAAATTTATCAATTTCACCTTCACAGTACCCATTTATAAATTATAACTTTTTTATTTTCAGGTAAATCAACTAGATTCCATGTTTCATTATCTAAAAGTGCTTGATATTCTTCACGCATTGCTTTGCGCCTCTCATCAGCATATTCACTAGCCATCGCTTGATCAAAAGTATTCGGAATGTCAACTTCACAAAGCAAATTTAAAAAATGATTTTCTTTGTTTGGTCTACCTGGCTTGCCAGAACGCACTAATTTTGGTCGACCTGGACCTATGGTGACTTACTGAATTATTAACAACTTCAATATTGCTGTCATTAGTTCTGCTTCATTACCTTCTAGAATTTCTAGTTCAACATTTGCAAATTATTTCGATATGGATGCTTCAAAAAACGATACATCACAGCTAACAATTATTGTTTTTGTTGCCGCATCAAATAACCGCTTTTGTTGCACTATCGTAACTAACCATTGCGTACTTCTTTCCTTTAGCTTCAAATTAACCTTTAGACTTTTTATTTAATGCATAGGCCATCGAACCAAATGTTTTAAAATGATATACGACTAGCTTTCTCTTATACCAGGCCTCATAAGAAGTCATGACTGCCATCGCCTTCGTTGGTGGCATATTTCGTAAATAGGCTGCTGTGTTCACTTCTTCCGCCCATAAGTATTCACTTAAATTTGCTCCAACGAGCATACAATGTGTCATCTCCACTAAGGTTTTATTAAAACGTTCAGCTACACCATTCTGGTGCGGCGTGTAGGGTACTGTGAATTGATGTAAAATTCCACATTCTTTTACATACCTCTAAAATGCATTATTTGTGTATTCTGTAACTCCTATAGGCTTTTAATGAGCATCTAGTTTGACGTTCGGCGAATATTTTAAATTCTTTGAATTTCTCGAAAACTTCGCTATTGCCCTTCAGAAAATAAATAAACCCATATCTACTCATATCATTAACAAATGTTAGTATGTATTGTGAACCACTAGCTAATTGTCTAATTGGGCCGCATGCATCTGTGTGTAGCAATTCAAGTAACTCACTCGCCCGATTCTGACTTGTAGCACATTTGATTTGGATACATGGCATGTCATATTTGTTAGTGTACTTAGTACAAGTCCATTAACTAATTTATTTGAAACAAGTTGCCGCATACTGCCATATACCACCAGCCTTGTCTCCTCGTAAAATGATGTAACCGTTGCACTCCAGCGCCGTCGCTTACCGCCCTCGAGTTGCGAACATGTTGCGGTCACAGCACATGTGGAATGTTGCACCGCTGTCGATTTCCCACATGTTTGTTTGCAAGGAGTTTGACGCAAGTGCTGAGAATAGTGTAAATGCTTTCGACTT